TTTATTAAAATTTCATTACCATTCGTATATACTCAAATATGATGCATGTTCTTAAAGGATTTCGTAGAGTTCAATTATCTACAAACTTAACAATTTAAAAATAAACATATCAAGGACATAATGTTTTTACGTTTTGTCCGCAGCGGATAGTAATCATATCGTTTATGACCGTTACTCAAGTTTTATGACTTATTTTTTTCCCACTTTATTATATCAAAATATATCCGTCAGTCACAGGATAACGCTCTAGTGGGATCGTGACATAAATCTTGTCTTTGTAATGAATCCCTCGTTGCAAAATCACTCTTGTCCATCAGATAATTCTCAATAACTTGATTTCTGTTCGTAAGACCCCAAATATGTAGAATTAGTTCAAGAGTTTTAGTTGCCTGAGGGATACTTTCTCGTATATTTAGGGAGTGAATTAATGACGCTGCTTTAATAGTGCCGTGTATTTGCGTACACGGTGTAACGTTAATACCACATTGTTTATTATGTCAGCTGGCCTTACTCCAACTTGGAACTAGTGCATCTTCTAGTTTTGGCTCCAAACTACGCTCTCACCTCACCAAGTGATTCAGTTTACGAAAATGTATCTCATGTCATATTATTTCAAACACAACAGATAATCATTAATTTATTTTTACTTTATTGCACAAAATTTTAAATGAGGACATAAAAGTATTATATTTTATGGTATTTAAAAGTCCCCATTTAAAATCGAATAAACGGCTAATCAGTAAATAATAAAAATCCACCAATGCATTCCAAAATCATATAAGATGATGAAAGGACATGTTTTTAATAAAACTCACAATTTGATCGCAGTCAATTTTAATTTTAAACTACCGAAGTTTCGAATATTTTACAGCATTCATCGTTATAGGCCAGACACCCCTAAACATAGTCCGAGCTACCTCATAAATGTTGAAATTACTAAACAATAAGCAAACTTTATAAATAAATAAAGGTGTTTTAAGGTAAAGTAAGTTTTAAGGTAAGGTAAGTTTTGGTTACTGATTCGATTTGGATGCGTAGCTAAGCGGGGTTTTAACGATTTAATTACATTTTGAACCTCTTCCTTCACTAACTTTAAAGATTTAACTACGACAGATGAACGGGATCGCTGTGTTCGCAAGATGGCATACACAGTAGCTCTAACTTTTCCGCTAAGCATTCTAATTTTTCAGAGTAATAGAATTAGGTTGTAGTTATTCCTGTGGAGGTTCGTGCGTCCCAAATTTAATTTTCTGAGCTAATTGCCAGTAGGAAATGTTTGATGGCTCTGGATCTTCTAGTAGGGCATTTCACGCAGTTTGTCAGTTTTTCGATTTTCGATATCTTGAGTTGGAAACCAGAGTTGCGCCTACTTCGAATCCGATTGATATAGGGCGTAGGTGTCGGAGTACATACGGAAGATATATGCGTCGGTCGCTCCATTTACCGCTTTTTCCGATTCTTCGACGGCCGTTGAGGCCTGATATCGGAGGCTGCTCGGCGTGCGTCATTGGCCTTAACTATCGCGACTATCGCTATGAGCTAAGCTCTTTATGATCTGGGGGTCCATGGCGTTGAGATCTGGAATCTGAAAGTCGTATTAGACTTCATATGACCATTTGACCCAGCTTACATAATATCGACCTGCGTTTTAAATCTAGCTCATTGAATAGTCTCTATCGACTCGACATCGAGCGAAACAACCTAAAGTAAAACCACGTGTAATATGCTAGGCTTTTGCCTTGTTACTCAAAGCTATATAGTTGAAACCGGTGGATGATGCGGGTATTATCGAGGAGCACCAACTTCTGCATTTGAGCTCGGAGCGGTCCATCCCGGAGTCCCAATCACCTCGGATGTTCGCAGAGACTGACTGAGATTTGCCCATTCGCAGAAACGACTATCGGGATAATTTCGATCGGCACACCAACCGATATGTCTATCACCTCATGACCCAGATATTTTCTCTTCCTATCTGTTTTGGCTTTCACTAGGTTCTCATCATATGGAATGGGTTACAGGACAGTTGCCACCTTTTAATAAAGTGGGCTCCGGTTACCTCAAACACCAGATGAAGTCTTTCAAGTTTCAAGGAGAATAATGTTACTGTAATGCAATGCTTTACCTCTTCTTCTTGGGTAGAGACTTTGGCAAACGCTCATTTAAAACCCTCATCTAAAAGATAGTTTGATCAGGACCGGGCCGACTTTAGAGGTCATATCATTATTCTGGTTATGTATTTGTACTATTTGCTATTGAATTTTTAGGTCAGTGAGATCCCGGATATCACAGTATTTAAATATTTATCTCCTATCCCTCTGGCTAAGAGGGCTACATAATAAGTATTTATATTAAGAACTAAAAAATTGATTTACGCTTGGTTTTATATCTTTAATAGCTGTTAAAGATCAGAAAATCATAATGGCGATATGGGAGAGCGCATATATGAAAAATTATAATAACGCCTATTTACATTGACATACATATCAGACATAGAACTATTGTTCAGGAGTATATGTATAATTTCGTCAGAAAAATAATAAAAAAGGTTATTTTCAAAATTAAATTACATTAAATAATATCTGGTCAGCAACGTAATACTTTGAATAAACAAAGCCCTATTTGCATTTATTGTGTCTCTGCCCGAAACAAAATCTGCGAAACGATCTCGTCTCAACGCAGAATTTGTTCCCGTTTCCGATGAAATATCAAAGCAGGAATATAAAAATTTCCTATAAATTATATCAAAATACGATAAATTTAATGGAGGTAATATTAAGCTCTAAACAAACAATATTTGACTCATTTGGGATGTTGTTTCACAATGTTGTTGGTACACGGAAATATTGACATGAAAATCACTAAGTATGTTACACAATTACACATCTTGGAAATCGCCTACACTGCAACCACCCAGCTACGACATTCCATTCTCAAGAGATTGCTTATTCCGTGCTACGTGCCGTCGCCCTTAATCCCACGGATACGAAGTGGTTGCGCAACACAGGTGTTGGACACCGGAACCGTCCGAAGCATCGCAGCGAGCGTCACTCTTGTCTCTCACACCGAGCAACTGTCACCTCCCTTAGAAAAGTAGTTAACTTGTAATTTTTATGTAATAAAATAAGTAGTTTTAAGTTTAACTTTGCATTTTAGCATCCTCCAGCCGTAGGCTTCGTAATTAGTACGTTTCAACTGAGTATTTCTTATTAATAACTTTCCAGCATATACAAATAAAAAAAATTATAGGTTCGAATATTCTACGCCATCCAATGTTTGAAAAGTCGTAATGAATACAGACCTGCAGACAGAGGGGCGGTATTCTAATTACGTTAATAAATCAAAAGCGGCACTGTGATGCCGTGAGAATTCACACGCCCCTGTAAATGATTAGGCTCCTTTCTGAACATGCATTATTCATACTGTCTGTAAAGTTCATGTCTGCAACGGAGCGCTTAAGTTTCGAGAAAACAATTTACATTAGGCCAACTTCATATCTTTTTTTTTTAACGTTAGCACCACCGTTTTTGCTCCATTAAGCATGTATCCGTTATCAGCAAATTTTTTCACAGAAATCCTAGATTAGGAACTAGCCGTAAGATCACACAAATAATGATTCAATCACTACGAAAACCACATCGCAGCCACAGTTCAAAACATTGCCACATAAATTGATGACATTGCGTGCCTCGTAATTACGACTAAGCCGCAATCGCGCTCTCCTCGCATTGCTTACATTCCATTTAAACGCTCAAATATAATTTCCCGAGAAAATAGTTCAATATTTGCGCTCAATATTCCACGAAAGTTACACTCGATGCGATGAATTTCGCGATGCGAGGACGGTCCTACTCAAACAGCCGAGATAGGCTTCGCTTTATTTCCCAAAGGAACAAACAAATGTGGAAAAAATTTCCTGACTATTGCTTACCTTCAATCGCGAAGGATTTGAATGGAGTAATAATTTTCTCTTTTTCGCACCTGTCTTTGGCCCTAGATGTAACCGTAATAACTCAGTATCCGGGTGCTCATTTGAGGAACCGGTTTCAAACCCTAGTGTCGGTAAGAATGAAATTGTTTATTGGAATTTTATGTATCGATTTACCACGTTCTCGGTGGTGAAGGAAAATTTCTTAAGGCGATCGGATATAAAATTATAATACACATATTGAAATTTATTTGACGATGATTAATCCAATCGTATAGTTGACGGCCGTGCGCCAAAAGTGTTTCCAAAAGGGACTAATAATAACACCCTGTTGAAGAAGGGGCTTACCGAAAATTAGTGCGGATCTGAGTGACAGCTGATCGTCAGAAACCTAGTCCATACCACTAACAATACATATGTTGCAGTGATTCATCTATTTTGCTAACCTCCTACGTGAGATAAGGACAGGTGAAATGATGATTTATAAGTGCGCTGTCATATAAACAAGAAACAATGTTCTCGACGAGCATTGTTTCTCGATTGCACCGCAGAATGGTGCCGCTCTCAAAACTACAGGAGTAAATACTGGAAGCTCTCCATCACCTACCACACTCACCATACCTCGCTCCAAACTTTTCTCTTTTATTTATGTATTTCTTTTATTTATATATGAATCGAACAAAAAGTTTAAAGACTTTATTATAAAGATAATATAAGTCTGCCGTACTTACGAACAGGTTTTTAATCACGAATTTAAATCACTGTTACGGGGTAATAAGATTAGGTAGGTTTTGAGAATACAAAAATAAAATTTAAACACATCACAATTATAACTTGGCGTTTTACTTAGTGATCCATCAATAAATGTGTTTATCTTTTGGTTCTTTAATTAAAACAAAGTATTAATATATTCGGAATTTTATAATGAGCTGATAAATTGCGCTGAATTAATTTAAAGAATTCCCACTGATAACACAAGTTAATTTCTAAAGCAGGCACGCGGCAATATTCGCAACATTACGTAAAATAATCGTTGCGTAAATGGAGACGATGTATTGCAAAACATGTTACCAAGATGGCGCCGGCGCGTTTAAGTGTAGTTTTAGTTCTTCAGTTCTTAACTCGTGACATTTACACTTTAGGAAATACTCTTAACTTCAAGATTAATAAGGATATAGTTACCGATAGTGGAGTTGTACGGGGACATGTGGTGGAAAGTGGCGACTATTTTGCCTTCCTTGGCATACCATATGCAGCACCAACGACAGGATCACAGCGCTTCAAGGTTTTACTCATAACTTTTTTTTATGTTATTTTACCAAAACATTAGAAACTATATAAAACTAGAATACATATAATATAATGCAAATGACAAATGATTTCCATTTTTTTAAAGGAGTTAATACTAAGATTTAATGAAATAACTACAAAAGCATCGAAAATATTTTAACTGATTCATAAATCCAGCTAAATACCTACCTACATTACATATTTAATTTATTAAAACCAAGTGACATAAAATGAGATAACTTATTTCCCGCAGGGTCCATTGCCTCCTAAACCGTGGGACACGACGTTCATAGCAGACCGTAAAGTCGTGTGCCCACAATCGGGCATCGGCGAAGAGGACTGCCTTGTGGTCAATGTTTTCGTTCCCACGGACAAAGCAAATGGAAAACTCCCTGTTTTAGTCTATATCCATGGAGGATTGTTTCTTTTCGGTGCGGGGCCCACTGAGGGCATGGAGCCGTTGATAAGGCTGGGTGTAGTGATAGTGACTATAAATTACCGTCTTGGACCATTGGGATTTCTTTGTCTTGCAAATGATCACGCCCCTGGAAATGCTGGCCTTAAAGACCAGGTGGCCGCTTTGGAATGGGTAAAAAAGAACATTGAAAACTTCAGCGGTGATCCTGACAACGTAACGGTGTACGGGACAGACGCTGGAGCGGCGTGCATCGAACTTCTTGTACAATCCAAAGCGAACAGGAATTTGTTTCAAAAAGTTATTTTCGAATCCGGATCCAGCAACTCGGCGTGGGCTATAGATAAATATCCACTTACTACTGCTAAGGATTTAGCGAGAGCGTTTACTGTCTCGGGAATAGAGAACCCGCAGAAACTTTTAGAGCTATACCAAAATGTGCCAGCCGGTTTGTTAAGTAGAGTGAACTTACAATATTTTAATTCTTTAACACACGGCACGGTCGGCTTTGCTCCGTGCATTGAACAAAAACAAGATAAAGCTAAAACAATTATAAACATACTTGATCCGAGAGAAATAGGTCAAACCGATAAATTACCGATGATCTTTATTTTTGCCTCCTTTGAAGGTCTTTTTCTACGAAGCAAGGAATATTATGCACTAAATTACAAGAACAGAATGGAAGCTAATTTCGATGAATTCTTACCGGCAGACCTTAAGTTTGATAGCGAATCGGAAAAAATCGAAACAGCGAAAGAGTTAAAACGTTTTTATTTTGGCAATGATACCATAGACGACAGCAATATCCAGCAGTACTTGAACTACTTTGGCGACAGTCTTGTATTGCGTCCTTTGCTCAACTCCGCAGAAATCAACGCACGTCGTGGAAATACCGTTTACCTAATGGAGTTTGCTTACCGCGGGAAAATGGGAGAGTATGACGACTTCTATAAAGATATAGCCGCAGCTGGGCATGGGGACTTTGCTAATCACATCATTTTAAAAAGACCCATACAAACGAGTAGCGATCAATTAGCCATTGACAGGGCCGCAATGCTCATGGTGAATTTTATGAAATATGGGTGAGTTTTACTCAAGTAAAAATATATTTTATTTAACTTTTGCTAAAAGTACCAAGCAAATACATAGGCACTTTGTCAGAAAGTTGGCAAGTGCCCTAACGAGAAAACGGAGGGAACATGGTTTGATTTTAATTGTTAATATTCTAATGTCTCTCATATTTTAATCGATATTGCTTCAATATCATTATTGTATATTAAGTAAGTCCACTTTTAGACATCTGATATAAATATATTGAAACAATATCGATTACTTTTCGATTTACCTCCTCTTATTTTAGAATTTTGTTCTATTGGTCTCATATACTATCACTGTTTTCATAAGACCCAAATTATAATATTAACACTTTCTTTTGCAGAAACCCAACGCCAAATCAAACTGATTTATTACCAATCCTCTGGCCGACAGAACAACCATATATCAATGAATATTTTCTATTCGGAACTGACCTTAAAGTTCTCAATAGTCCTTATAGCAAAAGAATTGAATTTTGGAATCAACTTTACTGCGATTCAGGCATGTATGAGAATGACAAGACATCGGAACAAGAGCGTGACGTAACATGTCCTTACTAATTCATATTAAAAACACTTTTAAATAAACACACCTTAAAATTTTTAGGTCAATGGAGTTTCATAAATTAAGAGATTTGGTAATGGTTACCAAATCTCTCTTAATTTATGAAACTCCACCTCAAATAAATACAAATCAAAGACAGCCATTAAAATAAGAACAAAAACTTTTAGTAATATGTTTGGTTTCTATGTTTCATGACTCGGTGGCGAAGTTGCTAAACTAATGGATTCGGCTACAGTGGTCATGGGTTCGAATTTCACATGGGACCAGTATTAGTGTGACTCGTATAATTTTTCCGGATCTGAGTGATTCTGATCTGATAATTCCAACGTGGAAGAAAACTAAGGAAGTTAAATCTCTCCCTTTTATGCTCTGAACATATATAATCCAAAAATTTTATTTAATTTTAAAGGCTAACTTGTTTTTCGCCATAAATACGGTTGATTATTTTTCCTGCGTATAATGCTTTTCATCCTTCCATTTTGTCTAATCAACTTTTTGTTTTTCATGTAACAATTTAAGATTTCATATATAGGAATAATCCTCAGTTTTGGATTGCTAAAGGCTTGGAGCACTGTAAATTTTCATTAATAGACGCACAGAAAAAATATCCTACAACAATATTAATGGAGCAGCTACTCGTACATTTGATCGATATTCGATATTTTAATATCGTCTTTTATATTTCGTGAATTCTATCAGTCACAACAATGTTTGAACAACTATTTTTGCTGTGTTTTCTCCAAGTATTCAGTCAACTCTATGTAACGTACAAAATTTAATAAATATTCTTGGTTTGGCAGATCGAGTTATCCTGTAGCTTAGAACAAGCGAATTTTTGCAAATTTATACAAATTTCACACTGCGGCTTCTTCACGTCTTTGAAAAAATCATGTGTCTCCTGATTATTTTCGTAGTTTTTTTCAGGCGCCAGCAAAATCAAACTAGCGTGTTGATTATGCTGGCACCCAGTGGCGGATTTGCCCTAAGGCCAAATAGAGCGGCCACGTATTAGGGGCGGCCAATCGTGGCAAAAATGCACTGATATATGATGGACTGTGAGAAAGAGGCGGCTGGAAGTAAGTTCCATATATCCGCCACTGCTGGCACCAAAGGATTATTTACTATTACCTCGCTGCACCTAACATGTACACCTCGAAAAGCCATAAAGAGAAGAGTCGTCGTATGTCGTATGTATCCTTTTTTTCGAAGATTGTGTGTCTTCATTTTCACTTGTTTCGTTTGATGTCTTCTCTACACCCTAAAATTACCAAACTATTTGATAAAATTACAAAATGTCCAATTTAAATTATAAAATGCAGCTTAAAACTAAAATATTTTAAAAAATTAAGTTTGATTAATTCTACATTTGATATTCAGCGAAGGAGGCAATTTGGGAATAAAAAAAAGCACATGACGTAAATATTTGTCCATATTCGAGTTAATCTTTCAATTTTTAAGAAAACTATCAATATCTAGATTTTGAAATAAATTTACTTTACTGTATATGACTTTGGTTTACTTCACTTTATGTGATGTTTTTAAGATTAATCGAAGGCTGAACTGATGGGGTAGCCAGAATCCACGAGCTTGATACAGCCCTTCACGGTGGGTAGGGCCTCGCATATGCCCTTATTATATAGGGGCATGCATGGCATGCGCTATCTTAAAGGGGGATATTTCCTCTTCGGATCGAGGGGTTCGGTATGGACCGTGATCGATAGCCCGACCGATTGAGAAGCGCTCTGGCCGCCGCTATGCGATTTGGACCTTGTGTACGCATTGTGTTAGTTTCGCTGTGCTCGTTCGCAAAAGTATGTAAGTAAAGTAACAGCCTATACATGTCCCACTGCTGGGCAAAGGCCTCCTCTATTCAGAGGGTATCAGGGCAAAGTCGGCCCACTGCGGATTTGCGGACTTCACATATCTTCAAAAATATTTTTTTGTTATTATTTCTAAAATATGCAGGTTTCCTTACGATGTTTTCCTACACGGCGGAGCACGTGATAAGTCAGCACTTAAAGTTAAAAACTTAATTGGTGCACCGGGAACCGAACTCAGGTTGCTCGAGTATATTGAATTAAAGGCGAGCGCCCGGACACTGAGCTATCAAGGCTCTTCGCAAAGACAAACTAATTGGTTATATTAGTTAGCACTATCTGAAATATAACGGTAGGTTACGTTATATTCGGAGGAAAGTGTGTAGTTCGGATGAGAGGTGTAATGAAACAAGTATTTGAAATTAAAAGAAAAATTCAACGCTCAATAGTATAAATATCCATACTCGATGTCGTAATCCAATCCGTCAGGCGAACGACCACCCCCCGAACGCCTTTTTAAGAAATACTCCTCTAGCTCAGGGTATGCATCCATCAACATCCTTGCTTGTTTCTTATTCATGGTACCATTCACAATGATATCCCTGAAGGTAGTGTTCCGCACAAAGTTCCTGTTGAGTAATCTTATTTGATTTAATTTCTTCATTAGCCCAGCATCCACTTTTATCATCTCCATTTCATGAATATCCTTCACGGCTTGCCGATCTTTCCTGTATTGCTTCTTTAGCTCCTTAATGAACCTCTTCAACTGCTTTGTCTTTCTCTTCCTCTTCGTAGTTCCATTTCTGTACGATCTATTTAAAATTTTTTTCATTTCTCTTATAATTTTCCTGATGTTTTTCTTGATCTTCCGTTTTCTCTTGAGTCGGTCGCGCTTTCGCTTACGTTTCTCCTTTCGCCTCTTTTTGTCTCTTTGCTCTCTAGAGCTCAAATCCCTCCACTTCTTCTCTTCTGTATCCGTTTCCATTGAAGTCTGATCGAAGGATAAGTCAAAGCCCTGGTACATGTCGTAATTGGTGAGCTGTAACGCGCAGCAAACGAATTGCGTGCGGCCGCAGGATAGGTCTCCCCTGTATATACGGTACTCTGCTTCGCACTCCATCGGCAACATGCACGTTCCCCATGGCATGTCATGTTGATTGGGGTCCCCGCATGGCACTCCCCATGGACCTGAAATACAATTTAATTTTAAGCCAATTATACAAATACATGCCCACAAATCTTCAAAACAATCGTGTTAATTTTCTTTCTATCCAACAATTAACATTAAATAAATGAAAATTAATTGACGAAGAGTATATAACAACCACAATTTTTAAATACTAAACAGTTTATAGAGACTGAAAAATAATAGCTTACGTGCTGCAACCATGTTCACTGTATCTCCAGAAGGTACTGATGAGTTCAGTGCTTCCAACTTTTTCTTCAACCAAATATTTTTCCACTCCTCTTTCCAGGGATATAGTTCAAGGCTTGAACTGGAACTTACGTACTCTGTACTTGTGCTGGCGTATTTCGACTTGCGTCTTGCCCACAAGTTCATGACAGGATCCTTCTGATAGCCCCGAGCTTCCTCCTCAATACCTTTGTTTTTGAACATATTATTTTTCGATATTCTAGTTTTGTAATCGCCTCCGGTTCGCAAAGCAAGTTCTTTTTTCATTTTAATCTGTTTAATCTTTTTTGTGTCATCGTTCTTTTTAAGGTAATTGTTCCTGACTTTGATTTCTTCTATTAAATTGGGATTTTTAAAGTACGGTATATTTTTCCTCGAATAGAACGACTTATTGCGCGACACATCACCCTTGTACGATGTGGAACAGGAAAGATTAAAAAATATTAATAATACTAAATTATTAATGACAAACCTCATTTTAAAAAACTACATGACCAGTTTTAGCAGAAGCCGTGTAGTGCCGTTTAAAAAAACAGTAAGTTTTATTTGGTCATAAAGTGTCGATAATTTAAAAAATTGCTATGAATCAAATATTTCAACCATAAACTTTGAATGGAAAACTAATAGAAAATTTCAACAGTATATATTTGACTGTAAAAAAATGCGGCTTACGCAGTAAAATCCCACAAATACATGTCTAAAGGCAGTTAAACCATGCTTAGAGAGCCAATTTATTGAGTGGCGTGTGATACTTTATTAGAGCTTTTTTTAAACCTGGCTCTACAATTACTATAATGCACAACGGACAGACATAAAACCATGGATATGTGTCTGTTCGTTACGACTGGAAACTCTCCCTCACCAGGTAGGGCTACGCAGCAGACTGCTGTTGCATAAATGTGCAGATTCGCCCGGGGAAGTGTCATGATCTCGCAGAAGACGGGCAGATAAGTAAGTGTTAAAGTTTTGTTTTTCTTTTATAAGAGAAAGTGGCAAACGAGCTGGCGGTTCATGTTAAGTGATAACCGCCGCCCATGGACATTTGCAACACCCTTAGTGTTACAAATGCGTTGCCACCTTTAAATAAAGTGGGCCCCGGCTACCTCATTCACCAGACGAAACGCAGAAGTTGTAACACTTCTACTTTATGCCGTTCTTCTGTTAGGTCGTGGTACTTACCCGGACGGACCTGCCCATTCGTGCAACAGTGTTGCGTGGCCCTACCACCGTTGTCTGGTGAGTGAGGTAACTGGGGCCCCCTTTTCTTCAAAGGTGGCAAGGAGTCTAGTTCAAAAGAAAACACATTAAAAAGATCGTAACATACTGACAGCATTAACTGGCTGAGAAGCTTACATCGCCAAAGTACCGTAGACCTGGGTATTTGTCATAATTTACAACCTGATACCATTCCTAGCAAGAAGTGGAGTCTTACAATTAGACGGACAAACGGTCAACAATGAGATCCCGCAAGAGTTCCGTTTTTGCCGATTGATATGCAGAACCCTAATTATTAAGAAGTATTTACCTAGACTTTTTAATAATTAGGTTGCAGCATCTCAGCTTATCTTCGCTGTACGAGAGAGAAAAAAATGTGTGAACTATAATTGCACACTCTTAAAAGTAAATTAAATGTATATTTAAATAATGGATGGCACAATAAAGATCATGTGTTCGAATTACAGTGTCTTTCAGTTTTTGGAGTTCTTAAGTGCAAAGTTATAAAAAATCTATAACGTACACTTATTTCTTCAATCATTTAATAAGTAACAAGTAATGCTTATGGGTTGATGGTAATAATCAAATAAATTAATGAATTTTGTATCACTTTTGTGCCCAGTCCACGACGACGTATCTATTACCTAAACCGTGGACTGCATTATAAGGTTTGTTAACTGGATAATAAAAAATGTAGGTACGTATAAATGTAAATATTTCAATAAAAAAAAAATAAAACCAAACCGTCAAATCGAATTGATCAATTAATTAGAGTTTATTTCAATAAGTACTTATACAAAAGAAGTTCAATGTTCAGATTGATTTCTTATGTTTTCTCGCTTAAAGAGTTATTTTGAATAAATTAACATCAACAGTTGTACGAAATACAAAAATAACAAATATGCATCTTAAAAATCTTCTTCAACCAAATATTCGTCAGCACTTTTTGCTGGACATTGATTTTACGTACTTCGACCCACCTCTTATCAACATATTCATAATGACCCTTTTTCCCCTTTTTCTTCCTTGATTCCTACCCGAAATTTTACTTTTGTAATTGCTTCAAGTTTTCAACGCAAGTTCTTTATTCATTTATTCCGTTTAATCTTTTACGTGTCATCGTGTTTTTCAGAGTAATTTTACTCGAGTGTAACTCTTATCTCTAATTCCGTTGTTACTGTACAATATTAAAAAAGCTTAAAAAATATTAATAGCACTAAATTATTATACACGGAGGCCGTAAAGTTATTGCAATACGGAAAATTTTATAATAAAAACTAAACCTTGAATTGTAAAATATTTGGAAAATTTAAGAAAGATTTTATTTATAAATCGTTTGTCATAAACATGGATTGAAAAATTCTCATGCGTCATAAAATTGCCGCTATAAACATGATAAATATCGAACAATATACTTGTAAAAGAAAACTGAATATTATATTTGTTTATTTATCAGTAGCACAACCGCTCTTAAACAAAGGCAAAGGGTACAACAAAATTGAAGGTGATAGTAATGATTAATTAATAATAAACTTTAGACCGAGAACTAGGACGGCAGTATGAAAACGATCGCTCTCTGGGCCCTGCGCTACGTCGTCGATTTCCCTGACGATGAGACGACTATCACCATCGACAGGATAAAGCAATTTCTTAATACATGTGGCGAACATATACTAGGTTAATGAGGGAAGCGCTGCTGGAGTTTCTTCCGCTACTTCATCTCCCGGCGCATAGCTTTGGAATGTCTTCCAGTCAGACTATAGCTACCGATCGAGCCGAGTTCCGGCCCTCTCGGGCACCTTCGAATCGTAATGCTAAACGGGAACGAGGACAGCCCAAGCCGAGGTCCCCTCTTGGGGGCCCTTGAGCATAGCTACTCCAAGCGGCCTAAGAGGTTGATAGCCGACCAAAACTGTTAGCGCGAGCGTAACCCAATCGAGGTACAGGCTAGGCTAGGCACCCTCAGCTCCCGGCCAACTCAAGCTTGGTGGGTCTTTTGAAATCATTTTGTTAGAATAATTGTCGTTAATTTTTGTAAAAATACATTTCGGATAGATTCAGAAAATCTCCGTCCCAAAAAACTACAGTAATTAAAATTGTTTTTCGGACTTCATGGTGTTTAATTTTGTTCTTAAATACCCGCCGTTTCAACTTTATTAGAACGAAAAAATGACCGTGAGGCCATCTGCCAATTCCCCAGAAGGCGCAGGTTCGAATCCTGCAGCGGCGAGAGTTTATTTACAAGTGTGAATTTGTACAGGGTGGCTTCTTTAAAGGTGCCCTTTTCCATTCACACAGGAGGTTCAGACTGGGTAGTATAATCGTTTATATAAAAACAAACTTTTTTTCAAAAAAAAATTACAATTCTATTCAATAAAAAACAGAACTTTGACAATCCTGAACAGTTGACAATGTTGTAGCCATTCATAAATGCGTCGTATACTGTTGAAACGAACTTGTGTGGGTGTTAGTCATGAATGACTGTGCGTCAAATAAATGAGCTTCCCATAAATCACGCACTTTTTGAGATAAGTTCAAATGAATGTAATTAATTAATTACGAGTGATTGAGTTTTTCACTCTCTTGAGATTTTTACTCCTTTTTCAAAAAAATGTAGTTTTGTGACTCCTTGATAAGACACGCCCCACCAAACCATCACTGACGCAGGATGATGACCACGTTGTACCTTTCCGTCAACTTGAGCAGCTTCTTTAGAACTGTGAGCGTACACTTTATCATTTTGCTTATGGTAGTGTTCTTCAATCGTGAAAATTTTTTCATCGGTTAAGAGGATATTTCTGTGCCTTTCAACTGCGTATCGCGACAGAAGGCGTTTTGATCGATCCACTCTCTTTAATTGTAAAGATTGATTTACAGAATGTACTGTATATCGGCGATAAGCACCGAGCTTTAGGTCTTGTTTTATAATACGCGACAAAGTCCTAGCGAGAATCTTCATTTCTCGCGATAAGATTTTTTGCTTCCTTATGGGATTTCGACGAATTCTGGCTTTAACAGCATTTAACAGCTTTTGTAGTTCTAACAACACGCGGCCGCCCCGATCTTTTCTGGTCTTCGACAGACGAAGTGTTGCAGAATCTGTTGATAGTACGATATCCGAACATACGGCTGATACCAAGCTTTTGAAGTGTCTGGAATATGATCGACGGCTCCATACCGACTTTGTGCAAGGCGATCACTGCAATCCTATTTTCTTTAACACCCCATTCCATATTGTAATTTGATAATGAACAAGAAAAAATATGTGAAATGGCGCAAAATCGAATTAAGTTTTTAAAATAATATCCATGTTCCAAATTCAAAATAATTAAAAAGTTGAAAAAAAGATAAGTATTTATGTAACAGTATTTATGGCCAGACTAGTTATAATTAAAATGTCATCTTGAGAGAAAAGCACTAATTTTTTATGTGAGGTGGCAAGCGAGATGTTATCTAAGAAATGGACATTTGCTACACCCATCAGGTTCGATCCCTGCAGCACCGAAAGTTATTGACCATTTTACAAAAATTCCCATTTTAAGTTTTATCTTTTCTGAGTGCAGAAACTACGCCAAAAATAAACTTGATCAGAATTAATCATCCACAATTTATTATAATTTTTATTCAAATGTTTAAAAAAAAATTATATTAATGCCCAACAAACCTGTGTTTCTGAAACTTAAACTTAAGAATCCCACTGCTGGGCAAAGGCCTCCTCTGTACAGAGGGTATCAGGGCATAGTCCACCATGCGGCCCACTGTGGATTGGCAGACTTCAAATATCTTCGAAATATTTTTTGTTATTACTTCGAAAATATGCAGGTTTCCTAACAGTTTTCCTGCACCACTGAGCATGTGATTATTCAAATATTCTTATACTTAATTAATAATAAATAGGAGAAGTGTGCCAATTATCAGAATTTTAACCTCTCTTAAAGAATGACCTAACCGGCAAACAATTTAAAACATGCATTCCATTTTGACCATGCTAGCCAACACAATTGGTTGCACCAAAGTAAACTTTTGCAAACCTTAAACCAGCTTTGCCACTTTTTGCTCAAAATGTGTACCTATCCTAAGACATATCCCCACATCAGGAGACCAGTAAAAAAGACATTAGACAGGTTTTTCAACAACACCACAAAAAGTTAAGCAAGTTTTCTACAAAAATTTAACAAACAACTTCCACCACTGCTTCCGATTTCTCCAGCCAAATTTGGTGATTCTTGCCCCTTTCTGCTGGAAATCTTTTCTTAGTACCACAAGTATAGCATGTCCATTGAATAAACTTTGTTTTATTTTTTGTTTTCAGGGACATTTTAGCAGAAACCTTATCCACTAGATGCAGCGGCACTTCTTACATATTTCTCTCTTTATTTCTGGGTGTCTGCAAATTAAAAAAAAGATTTACCATGTTAATAAAACACAACATAAGCACCAACACTACTTTCTTCCTTCTAGGTTTAAATGATCATATAGATGATGTTTCAATTCAATACTTTTCTGATCTGGAATTTTACACAAAAAGTGTCAACTTTGTAACCAAAATAGGGGAAAATGTTATTTATTTAACAACATCACCACAAGTTAATAGCTTTTCTTATAATGTTAAAAATATACATACGCACATTTTTAAAACATTCTTCTTTGCAACATTGACAATAAGATTTCCATAGTATGAATTCAATACTGCATTTTTACCAGCCATATATTTACTTACCTAAAATTAGATACACATAAATAAGTTAGTTTCTCCGACCAAAATAAAATCAAATAATAAGTTATTTTGGACAATTAACTTCAAATAATTAAACTTACTTGGTATAAATAATTAATACGCTGAAACGAATCATTACCCTGAACCTTTCTCATTGTAATTGTTTGCAACGTTTTACATTAAAATAAGTTTGTTATTTATTATTATTAAGAGTACAGTCAATCTCCATATGATCTGATCAAACAGTAATTTGCAATCTTGTAAAATATAAACGTAAATAAAGAAATTATTAAAAAAAATTTTAGGCTATTGATAGTGTTCTGTCAAATTTATGATTATAATTTTGACAGTTCACAGTGGGATGGTCCACAGAACCAAAACGTAAACGTAGTGATTACATTCTCTTTGCACAGAACACTTACTCAAAGAGTTGGTAGGTAGTGTACACATAATTAATGAATCTATTCCACTATCGACTATTATGCACATAGAACTTGAAATCGATAGTTTCAGGGTTTATATGTATGGACAAAAATTTATTTCGCTATATCTTCCAGATAACTAGTTGTAATTAGAATTGCTGTGATAAATAATAAATAACGGATAAGACGGAGATATATAAATTGATATTAAGTATAGGATGAACACATTCGTAGACAAAAGAAATAAACTGAAGTCTAGGGAAAAATACGAAAAATGAACGAAGTAGCATGAAATCTATATGAAATAATAAGCTCAGCTGTATCACCTCTGCTTTAAAATGTTTTTTATGAGAAACTCACACTCACACTCAGCTCGTCGAATGTATCAAGGCAAAGAATCCCACAAGTGCAGAGATGTGACCGTAAAAGATACGAAGAGGAATTCACAGGAGGTTAGAGGGTGAGATTGACAGAAAAACGAAGAAATTATTCATAGGAGGTATTGAGCAATACGCAGTACAAACTATATTTTGAAAATAAATGAGTAGCAGATACGAGAAGGTGGTTTAAATTCACTCCCTCAATAATAAATCTAAGTTGAATGGATCTGAAATTATGTTTTAACAAGCAAGTGTTAAAGTTACAGAAAAAGTAAAGTAAAATCCTATACATGTCCCACTGCTGGGTAAAGGCCTCCTCTGTACAGAGGGTATCGAGGCATAGTCCACCACTTTTTTTGTTATTCTTTCGAAATAATAACAAAAGGTTTCTCGATGTTTTCCTTCATCGTTACGTTCGTGATAAGTCCGCACTTAAAATTAACATTTTCATTGGCGCCGGCACCGGGGTTCAAACTTAGGTTTCACGAGTATGTTGAATTAAAGGCGAGCGCCCGTACACTGAGCTATCACGGCTATTAGGTATCACGGTTACAGAATAATAAATAGGTATAAAATTTTTTAGGAAAAGAAGTAATCATGAAGTAACGAGGGAATGGCTTTTGAAGGAAGATAACTTGTGAAGAAAATATTCTTGACTCCTTTCAGGCTCCATTATACAAAAAATATTAAAACCCTGTTTTGGGCAATTATTTTGGTTTAAATTGGAAGCATGTAATCAAGTAGAATGATAAAAAAAAATATAAAAACTTTTGCTATAAAACATTACAAGGGGTCATTCTTAATTCGTAAGACTATATTTGTTTGTATTTGGCCCCGTCCCCCCTACTTTAAAAGAACACTCTGACACCCTCCTCTGTCTGTTATTTTTTAACTAAGAATCTAAAGAAAAAAGTAAATACACGTTTGATTTGCCTAATATTAAATTTTCATACTAACTTTTTTAGGAATGTTTGTTTGTGCCTACTAATTATATTCATGTGTCATTACGAAAAGTAATTTGTATTTTTTGGTAATCATTAATTACAATAAGCCTTTATAGCTTATTGTTAGAGTGCTTATCGTACTTAAATAAGATTTAGGGGCTGAAAAACCTCCCGGAACGTGGATCTGTCACTAGAGACTAGAATATTTATTGTGCTTTAGTGTTAGTAAAGTAACTGATTAAATAGAAATACTTGCTTTATCAAAAAATCTTCATTAATGGTCCCGTTTTCTTAATTTAGGCTACTAATCTAACCAATATTTTGTTTTGGACACTTTTAACATCTTTACCATGTTTCGCTTTTGCTGCTTTTCAAAAATTCTACTACATACATATTATCAATACATCTATACAGATAAATAAAATTGGAGTATCTGTTTGTAATATTAAAATAACCGCTTTTTCCTAAATGTATATGGATGTATACACGGTACATTTACCAAAATAATACTTTTTACAATTTTTGTCTGTCTGTTTGTTCCGGTTAATCTCAAAAACGGCTGGGCCGATTATGGCGGGACTTTCAGTTCCATATAGCTGATGTTATAAGGTAACTAAGGCTACATTTATTTTACAAAATTTTATTTATTTGTTTTAAATTACAGCTAGTTTAAAATACGTTAATTAGTCATTACTATGTTCTTGGATACTTCACCCGGAATGTACCAAATATGAATAACTTTTATTGTATGCGAAAACAAGCCTTATAAATAAATCGACGTTTGTCGATTGTTTAAGTATGATACGTAAAAAAGTATCGGCTACAAAAGAAAGTTTTTACTTATTTTCCACATACGCCAATTCAAAGAGTACTGTGATTAGAATCGATTTAATGAAAAGAAAGAGGAATAATTTGAGTTGTGTTTAAACTTCAACTAAACATTTTTTGGTCGAATTTGTAGATTTGATAAAATAAAGGGTTGAGTAAAAATTTAAGACGTACACATAAAAATAAATAACTTTACCCATTTAATGTATAGAACACATCATTACTTTGCATCAGATACCTCTAATTTTAACTTTAATGGCAACAGTACATTAGAAAGAAAGAAAGAAAAATGGAATCTAATGTCTGTCATATATTTTTTGACACATGTGGTGGATAGTAAAAATTGTTTTAGTTTATTTCAAATTAATAAAATATGTATTAGTAATATACCGATAAAAAATCTCTATTAAAGTCATTATATTTATTTATCTTCATATTTTTGATTCACTTAGTGCAAACAAGAAATTAATGGATTATATGTTACCCTGATATTTTTATTACACAAATATGCTTAATAGAAAACCCTTCATGTTATCGAAGATAAAGTTAAGAGGGGGATGTTATTGTAGACTTTTTTCATCGCAAACAGGTGTGGGCGACATTGAAGTGCCCTTTTCCAATGGGTGAGTATTTAAGGTTATGTTATTTTCTGGATAGGTACCAGGACTTTATAGTCAAGTGAGTGACAGTGAGGTAACTTGAGGCCCACGCTCCACGCATGAGCTGCTGGTCTCACAAATAAGTAATCGTGTTCGTATCTCATCCAATTAAAACAGGAACAAAAGTGATATTTTTGCTACAATCTATCAACAAATAATATGTTCTATATAATTGAACAACCCAATCGTAAAAAAAGATAAATTCAGCAGTTGAAAATTGCAGTTGTAAAACGTAACCACTAATGGCACTATGAAAAGATTGTTCTACCAATCTCTTATTCAGATCTTAGTCTAAAGAAAAACAACAAAAAAACTTTGAACAATTAGTTAGTGACAATACTTAAGAAGTCATGTTTAGGTTCCAAAAAAAATTTATAGGAAATTGTCTTATGATATTTTTAAATGGGATGGGATACAAGATTAGTAGAAGTGTAGTTTAGTCCTGCCACGAATAGTTATAAAAAACTAAGCAAACATTGATTGCAGTTTTCTGTAATATCATATTTCATTTTTTTACTGTTCCAGAACATTATTGAGACTGTCAACTGGACGATATGCCAGATTTGCCGATGGAGCATGTGTTGCTACGTTAGGCAATACCAGTGTACTTTCCACTGTAGTTTCTAAAGCCAAACAAAGCAGTGGTTCCTTCTTGCCTCTTGTAGTTGACTACAGACAAAAAGCAGCTGCTGCTGGGCGTATACCAACTAATTTCCTTCGAAGAGAGCTAGGTAACAAATGAGAGACAATCAAATATGTTATATATACTTCATTGTGATAGGACCATGAAACACTGCTGTTGCATTAATAGGCAAGCTTGTCTGGAGAAGTACCATGGCTTCATAGAAAACTTTTCACATATAAAAATATGGCAATATTGACTAAGATGCAATTTGTACTTTTAGCAATTATGTGCTTCTTGAAATCCAGTGCAGCTGTGTAAGGGATCTAGTGACTTTCAAATACTATTAGTGTTAATGCAATATATCATTATTAATGTTCACTAAATAATCCAAATAAAGAAACAATTTTATAACAACTTAATAATAATTTTTTCAATGATGTTAATTGTGCATAACAATGTACTTATCTTAACATCATTACATTTTTCACATTAGTAATCAAGAGGCCCCAACATTAATAAAACCTTTTCATGTTTATAATAAAATGTTTTTATTGTTTTAAGGACCATCTGAACGCGAAATCCTGACATCTCGCCTTGTGGACCGTTCCGTCCGTCCTTTGTTCCCCCAGGACTATAGCTATGACACACAGTTGGCTTGTAATACACTAGCTGTTGATGGGATCAACACACCAGAGACTGTGGCTATCAATGCCGCAAGTGCTGCACTTGCCCTGTCCGATGTACCATGGAATGGACCCATTGGTGCCGTAAGGTTAATGTTTTAAATTACGTTTTTTGCTGTGACACTGCTTCAATGACAGGAATTCATTTTTTTATTTATGAATTAAAATATAGAATATAACTTTCTTAAGTCAAAAACATGTGATAACTTTTTATAACTTGGACAGTATTGAATTATTTAGCTCAATGATTTTTTTTGCACACATATTAACACAGCAGGTGCTGGGTGTTGTGGTAGAATGCTATGGTGAATAATATATTCAAATATGTTTTTACAAATGCTAAATACTTTTTCCAGATTAGGCCAGATAGATAATGAGATAATAGTTAACCCAACAGGCCGTGATCTAGATAACTCCAGCTTAAACTTAGTTGTTGCTGCTACCACCAATAATCTAGTTGTCATGTTAGAAGGTTTTGCTAATGACATTCTCCAGCAAGATTTACTCAAAGCCATCAAATTAGGTATGAATGTAAGTCAAACATACTTTCTTATATAGTTTGAACTTTACAATGTTCAGCAAATCATGTTTATTAATTATTGCCTTGGCTTAAAAAAAATATCTCCTGCTGCTTACTTAGAACTAATTAGTTTTTATTTAACAGCCTGTACATTACTACAAATACTTATGTTAACTTATGTTATTGAATGCTTATGTTAACAATGAGACATTTTTATTGACATCAGGATCGGGTGTGACTTAAATACAAAACTTGAAGATTATAACTAAGGTTCTATTATTCTAATGAGGTTTGCGATTTATAAAATATACACAATTATAACCTTGATCATAACCTAATCTGAATGATGCAGCTATTGTTGATAAACGCTTTAGCTTTGTAGATGTTTTCTCAAAATGTAATACAGAAATACAGATGCCTGAAATTGTTTCAATTCCATTTTAAAAATATTACTGTAATAGTGAAAGAAGAAATAGTTATGTTTTGTACTAAATACTATGTTCCACAATGTGTATATATTATGTTGTAGAGTTTATCTTGAGACTCAATGTTTTTTCAGGCACGAAAGAAGCACAGCATGTAGTAAGGGCTATAGAAAAATTGCAGAAAACACATGGAAAAAAGAAACGTGAATACGAAAAGTCACCAGAGCTTGATCCGAACATAGTTGATTCTATCAAAACACTCTCTACTATGAAACTCAGAGAGATTTTAAGGCAAGAGTTTTTTCTTACTATTATTATACTTATTTCTCACTGATGATGCTCATGACATTTAAGTCACCTGTCAAATCCAAACTTAAGAAGTTTATTGACAAAATTTTATTGTTGATTTTTCAATATGGTAAAGAAATTATCGATTTTCCTGTGTTCAAAGTATAAGGAAATCAAGCAGTTGAATATGTGATTGTTATTTGGTTATTAATTTAGTTTAGTTGTAGTTGAATATACAACTATACTACCCGACCCAACAGGTAACATCCATTCTGAGTTGACTTCTACTTGGCGAAAGGAATATTCCTACTAACAAATTTCAAGTCTTTACACCTTATGGTTCCAGAGATATCGTGATTATTAGTCAATTATCGGTGGAAATCTCATATATATATATATATATATATATATATATATATATATATATATATATGAGATTTTTACGTTTACGTTCTTTTCTTCCCATTCCAACTAAAATTATGCTAGCACAATCCTTACTCCTATCCATTCTCGATTATGCGGATGCAAGCTATCTTGATTTAACCGAAGAACAACTAAATAAACTTGAGCGTATTCAAAATTTAGCCATTAGGTTCATATTTGGTTTACGCAAATATGATCATGTTTCCGAATTTCGTTCAATGCTCAAGTGGTTACCCATTCGTTTTCGCCGGAATCTACACACTGTCTCTCTTCTGTACTGTGTATTATTTAACTCTAGGACTCCAAGCTATTTAAAGGAACACTTTAAGTTTCTTGGCCATAACCATCCAGAACGAGTTCTGCGATCAGCTGAAGATCTAATTCTAGCACCACATGCGTACAAAACTAAATATTATAAGAACTCCTTTACAGTTAAGGCCATCTGCTTGTGGAATGAACTTCCTCAGCAAATTCGTCGTTCGAAGACGCTAGACAAGTTTAAAATTGACGTAAAACAACATTATCTATCGCTTTGTAATCCATAGTTTTTAATGGCAATATTCAGATTTAATTCTTCTCTCGTGTATTTATTTATATATATTATATATTTATTTATGTTTATGTATGTTTATTATAATTTTGTTTATCTTATTATATTTAAGTCTATTTTGGTATTAAGTAAGTTTATTGAGCACACCACCTCCCACTATTCATTAGTTTATTTTCCTCGTCCTAAGGTTGTCTGGAAGAGATCGCTTTTTAGCGATAAGACCGCCTTATTGTACCTAGCTTTTAAGACTTATTTCATACCAATTGTATCAAATTCTTTGTGGTGTACAATAAAGTATATAATAATAATAATAATATATATATATATATATAACATATATATATAACATATACATATATAGATATAAGATATACAGCATGTCATTACCATCGCGACAATAAATGAACACACATATAGGGGATAACTTTTTAAAGTTGTATTAAACATTTAAATTCTTTAAACATCAATATTTACAGAGAAACAAAGAATTTTAGAACATCCCTTACCCTATAAAAGCGTAACGTAAAGTTCATTTGTAAAGGTCACAAAGCATATGAATGGGTTGAATGAATTTAAAAGAGACAAAACATACTGTTAGAAGGAGAGGCTTGTAATACGACGCTGTGGCGCGAGTTGTATATGTTGTGTTGTTACAAATTTCGTTTCTTTTTTACTTAATTAGTTTGTTTGAAAAATATTTTTTTTTAATTATGGATTTTGTTTAACGTTAATATTTTTTTAAGATTTTTGGCAAGTAGCGTTAGACGTGTCTTCATTTATTGTCGCGATGGTAACGACACGCTGTATATAATACATTTATATATACATCAAACTTTATACTTTGTAATGGTCTAATATTTGACACTGATGTTTATAGTGAATACATTATAAAAGTGAATAAAATAAAAAAATAAAACTTTGTTTATTGACTATGTAAAACATGATTAACACAGCGACTCGAGCCACGACAAGGTGTCAAGGGACATGGCGATATCGGAGTTGAGGCAGACGGTCCTCAACCAGCTGCGGGATACGCAGGTGGACGTCGGCATCCTGCAGGATGGCTTCAACGCCCACCTGAGGCAGACCTTCAGGGACGTGATCTTCGAGACCGACACGAGATGCGACGGCCGGGGATTGGACGATCTAAGGAAGATCAACTGCGAGGTGCAGAATTGTTCCGTGACTTGGTTCGGTGTTAAATCGCGTGCGTCTGGTAGCCAGTCTGGCTGGGGTTTAGGGCGTAAAAATTAATAAGAGAACTAAAATTAAAAATCGATTGGGTTTTCTGTAAACTATAAGATCAAATTTTTAAGTTTATTCTCTTGCCCTCTTACAATCTAAACATATATGAAATATGTAAGAAAAAGATTTAATACTAACAAATAATCCATTTCCGAAATTAGATTTATGTGTGCATATACTGTTACAAAAGAAGCCGCTGCCGCCGGCAGGTGTCGCTGTACGAGCCGCTGCACGGCAGCGCGGTGTTCCAGCGCGGGCAGACGCAGGTGCTGTGCACGGTGGCCTTCGACTCGCCGGACAGCGCGCTGCGGCTGGACCCGCTCAGCGCGCTCACCGGGTAACCGCCGCCGACGCTCAGCTCGATCCCCGAAACTTGGATAATCTCTAAATAATAAGGAAAAATGATTGCAGCGGGGAGCGCGAGAAGAGCTTCTTCCTGCACTACGAGTTCCCGTCGTACGCGACGGGCGAGGTGGGCGGGCGCTCGGGGCCGGCGCGGCGCGAGGCGGGCCACGGCGCGCTGGCCGAGCGCGGCCTGGCGCCGCTCGTGCCGCGCCAGCCCTACACGGTGCGCCTCACCGCCGAGGTGCTCGAGTCCAACGGTGGGCGACGTCGACGCGGAAACTGTGCTCTCCGTTAAAAAATGAGGATGAAATTAGATTCTATTGAAACTCGGCAGGCTCCAGCTCGATGGCGTCGGTGTGCGGCGGCTCGCTGGCGCTGCTGGACGCGGGCGTGCCGCTGCGCGCAATGGCGGCGGGCGTCGCCGTCGGCCTCGTCTCGCGCTACCACGACGGACACATGCACGACTACCGCATCCTCACCGATCTGCTCGTGAGTGCGCACCCCCGCGCCCTCTATCTCAATCTCTGTCTCCGTCTCTTTTTTTCTCCGATTTCACATCGTCTAAAATTTTATAGCCATTAATAAAGTCACAGATTTATACATTTCTCTTCTCAAAGCGCTTAAAAACAATTAGGTATAAAGAGATGACTTTTCAAATTCAAACTGGATTTGAAAAATCTCATGTCAAAATCATATCTGTCGAGTCAGATACTTGATAATTTAAAACGACGTGATTAGGTAACATAGTGACAAAGTATTATTTTTTACGAAAGTATAATAATAATTTACAAGTGTCGCGCAAAACGTGCTGAAATAATTTTATACGAATAAAGGTTGCTACTTATGTAAGTTAGTAATTTTACTCGACGTTAGTAGTACGAAGTAGTACGGAGTACAGGCAAATGAATCTCCCCTGTCAGGGCATCGAGGACTACATGGGCGACATGGACTTCAAGGTGGCCGGCACCAAGAAGGGCGTGACGGCGCTGCAGGCCGACGTGAAGGTGCCCGGGCTGCCGCTCAAGGTGCTCATGGAGTCCGTGCAGAAGGCCTGCGACGCCAAGAGCCGCATCCTCGACATCATGAACAAGTGCATCGACAAGCCCAGGTGAGGGCAGCTACGACGTTACTTTTTTATATGTGACTAGCTGCTGCCCGCGACTATGTCTGCGTAGAGGGGGTGCGTATTTAGGATTGTATGTATTTTTTATGCTAAGGATTGTATTAATTTTATATAAAAAAATAAAAAAAATGGATGAAAAATAGATGTCCGATTCTCCACCCTGGCCGATAGCCACACAAAATTTCACGAAAATCGGTCGAATCGTTTCGGAAGAGTTCAATTACAAACACCGTGACACGACAATTTTATATTGTTATGAACACACAAAGGAACTAACGCCATCTAGCGTCAACTATTAAAATCACTAAAGAACAAAGACGACATAAAACCCCCTATTCAATACTAGATGGCGTTAGAGGAACTGCTGTGGAACTATAGTCTCGAAAACCGGGAACATTCGCGAACTTTCCGGAATCACAAACATGTTCGTGCGTGTCGGGTACGTTCCAGGAATGATCTTTCTGGATTAGTCCGGAACCGGTCTCGGCCCATATAAAAAGCCGCAGGGACGCGAGCGATGACAGTTCAGTTTGAGCTACCTTCGAGGCGACTTCGGAGCGAAAACTAGTAATCAAGAGCGATACCAGTGAAACCTACGACTTGGCTACAAAATAGGACATCGTTAGTGCTTAGTGTTTGGACCTAGTGCTTTGTGTTGGACCTAGTGCTTGAATAAAGTCTTCAAAAGAGTCAGCAGGTCTTTCTCTCCAAATCCTTCGAACCCCTAACACGTAACTCGTAAAAACTGGTGTCAGAAGTGGGATTTGGAGATGCCATTGACTCCGAGAGAGGACTTCAAGGAGGGTGTCAGGACAAGGGCACGAGCTGCGGAGACCACACCCACTGGGGACCAAGCCCCGCCCACTATGGGTCAAGCCCCGCCCACTGACCCCACCGACCACGCCCCTCAGACTCCGCCCACTCAGGCCCAAGCCCCGCCCACTTTGGCTCAAGCCACGCCCATTTCGGGGCAGGCCCCGCCCACTTTTGTGCAAGCCCCGCCCACTGACTCCACCCACCGGGACACGCCCACCGGCGGCACCACAGCTTCTGCAGCCCCTGAAGTGGCTCTTCAATTAGGAAGTTTAATTAAATTAATGGAGCTGCAAAGGGCTGAAATTCAGGCAATGAAGGAGTCACAAGAACGCAAGCTCAGCGCTTTGCAAGCGTCACAAGAGCAACAAAAAGACCTTCAAGATAAAGCGCTTTGGGCTATAAATGATGTTAGTAACACGGTGATTAAGCTTCGAAGTGATGTCGACGTAGTCGAAGAACGAGTTACCGGGTTAGGATTGGATGTTGAAAATGTGAAAACCGGCCTCACTGAACTGCAGAAGAAAGTAGTGCGCCTTGAAACCACGGGAGTCGCGATATCTAGTGGAACCACTGGAGTGGCGCAAGGACCAAGAGTGAAAGTGCCGCCATACGACGGCACTACTTCTTGGCACGCTTATCGTCGGCAATTCCAGACTGTTGCTACTGCCAACGGATGGACGGAAGAGCAAAGCCTGACCGCTCTCACTGTTGCGCTCAGAGGGCAAGCTTTGTCGGTCCTGGAAGCACTGCCACATACAGAAAATGGGTTCCAAGACCTGATGGAGGCGCTTGAATCCAGATACGGGGAGCGACACCTGGAGCACGTATGCCGTGCCCAACTACGTGACCGAGTCCAACGCTCAGGAGAAGAACTACAACAATGGGCGTTGGAAATTGAAAAACTCGTCAGGAAGGCACACCCAGGAGCCGATACCAAGATAGTAGACACGAATATTGTTCAAGCATTTGTGGACGGAATCAAGGACCTCGAGGTCAGAGCTGCAGTGAGGCTTCGTCACCATACCTCGTTAAAGGAGGCATTGGCGCACGCTTTGGAGGTCGAGGCAGTTCGCCATGACATACGGCAGACCCATAAGATCCGCGAGGTCTTTGAGGAAGTGAAGGAGGTTAAGGCCCCTACGAAGAGAAGTTCTGGACCCATGTGCTACAAGTGCGGCGAGAGGGGCCATCTTCAGCTCAACTGCCCGCAGAAGGAGACCCAGATGGAAAGGATGAAAAGGATTGAGGAACAAATAAAGGACCTGAAGAAGCAAGGGGCTTCAGGGAAACGAATAAAAGCCGGGACTAAGGGGCGAGTACTGGCTGACGCGGAGGAAGCCCCAGTAAATGGCCACAACTACGGATCAATGACTGAGCTACTCAATCACTTCAAGACGGAACACCGCAGTGGAAAGACGCATGGGAACGCCGACGCACTCTCACGAAGGCCGTGTTCGGAAGACTGCAAAACATTGTGTTAAGCAGGAATCTAATGAAGTTACATTAAAGCTAACGAGGACAAGTCCTTTGGGTCTCTGGGAGAATGATGCTATGAGAGAGGCTCAAGAAAGTGACGACGACCTTCGGCACATCATCACATGGAAGAAGCGGGGCGATGTAAAACCAAACTGGAGTGAGGTTGCACCCACTGGCGCTGTCACTAAGGCGTACTGGACGCAATGGGACAGTCTGATACTTCAAAACGGAATCCTCTACCGGAAATGGGAGAAGACTAACGGCAGAGAGTTCCATCTTCAGATAATTGTCCCGAGAACGAGAGTACCAGATGTTTCTCCGTGAAATACATGATGGCGTATCAGGAGGTCATCTAGGTGTCAAGAGAACGTTAACAAAAGTGCGAGAACGATTCTACTGGTTGCACTGTCGAGATGATGTACAGGATTGGTGCCGCAAATGTACTACTTGCGCTGCTGTAAAAGGACCACAGACCAGAAGCCGTGGGAACCTGCGGTTGTATAACGTCGGTGCACCGTGGGAACGAATTGCAGTTGACGTAGCTGGGCCATTTCCTGTAACCGAATCGGGAAACAAGTATTTTATGGTCGTCATGGACTACTTCACCAAATGGCCCAAAGTGTTCGCCATACCAAACCAAGAAGCTACAACAGTCGCTTCTAAGTTAGTCGAAGAAGTGATATGTCGTTTTGGTGTGCCTCTAGAAATCCATTCCGATCAGGGCAGGAACTTCGAATCACAAGTATTCCAGGAAGTGTGTAGAATTTTGGGCATGCATAAGACGAGGACCACCGCGTGCCACCCACAGTCTGATGGAATGGTTGAGAGATTTAACCAGACCCTTGAGAGGCATTTGGCGAAATTGGTAGACGACAAACAAAAGGATTGGGACAAGTATATACCACTCTTCCTTCTGTCGTACCGAACCGCCGAGCATGAGAGCATAAAAGTTACCCCGGCGTATGTCAATTACGGGAGGGAACTACGATTACCAGTAGACCTATTGACAGGAGGGTCACCGGAGGGATCAGAGACCGTACAAGACTATGTCTGCAATTTAAGGGAAAAAATGCGCTATATACACGCCTTGGTTCGGGAAAATGGGTTACAGTCAAGTGAGAACATGAAAACCAGATACGACCAGAAATCGAACACGGACGGCTTCGAAGAAGGGTCACTGGTGTGGCTGCATAACCCAACTCGTCGGAAAGGGAAATCCCCAAAGTTGCAGATCAAGTGGGATGGCCCATACAAAGTAGTTACCCGACTGAATGATGTGACTTATAGGATTCAAAAGCAACCAAGAGGGACATTCAAAGTGGTACACATAGACCGTCTGGCGCGTTACCATGGCCGTAACAATGATGCTCGGGACGAGCATCTCTAAGAGGGGAGTAGTGTTATGAACACACAAAGGAACTAACGCCATCTAGCGTCAACTATTAAAATCACTAAAGAACAAAGACGACATAAAACCCTATTCAATACTAGATGGCGTTAGAGGAACTGCTGTGGAACTATAGTCTCGAAAACCGGGAACATTCGCGAACTTTCCGGAATCACAAACATGTTCGTGCGTGTCGGGTACGTTCCAGGAATGATCTTTCTGGATTAGTCCGGAACCGGTCTCGGCCCATATAAAAAGCCGCAGGGACGCGAGCGATGACAGTTCAGTTTGAGCTACCTTCGAGGCGACTTCGGAGCGAAAACTAGTAATCAAGAGCGATACCAGTGAAACCTACGACTTGGCTACAAAATAGGACATCGTTAGTGCTTAGTGTTTGGACCTAGTGCTTTGTGTTGGACCTAGTGCTTGAATAAAGTCTTCAAAAGAGTCAGCAGGTCTTTCTCTCCAAATCCTTCGAACCCCTAACACGTAACAATATATAAGACAAGATGGCAATCGTGCTGGCGGTTCACCTGTTGTCAAGTGACAACCGCCACCCAGTGACATTTGCAACACCCGAAGGTTTTTTTATATTTTTTTTATGGGAAAAAAGCAGCAAACGAGCAGGAGGCTCACCTGATGGTAAGTGATCACCGCCGCCCATGGACACCTGCAACACCCGAGGGCTCACAAATGCGTTGCCGGCCTTTAAGGAAAGAGTATGCTCTCTTCTTGAAGGTTCCCAGGTCGTAACGGTTTGGAAAGACCGGCGGCGGCAGCTTTACAGATGCGTTGCCACCAATTAATAAAATGGGCCCTGGCTAGCGCACTCAACAAACGAAATGCACAAGTAAACCACTGGTCACTTCACACTGTCTTCTGTGAGATTGTGGTATTTACCCGGACGGACCTGCCTACTGTAACAGAACTTAGCTTGTCTTCACACATCTTTTCAAATTTGAAATGGGAACAGATAAAAACATATTGTTATACAATAGTCATATACGATTGACGAAAAGTTTTGGCGTTTCCACTGTTACATATATATATATATATATATATAAAACTGCTATAAAACCTACAGATTTCCGAATAGAACACACACGGACTTTAAAACACGATTTACAGCTAGTGAGAGCGTTGAATTTGAAAGATTTTATTGCGACACGCAACTTAGAAATAGTTTAGGACATGATGTGTGCAGGCAAGACAAGAAGGAGAACATGCCGGTGACTGAGGAGCTGCAGGTGGAAATGCACCAGAGGTCCAAGCTCCTGGGCCCAGGGGGGATCAATCTTAAAAGGTTGTACATCGAAACCGGCGTACAGGTAGGTGGTCGCATATATGTTAATAAGTATATTTGCGTTTGCTATAAAAATTAAAAAGAAATATGTCAGTTTGTCATGGTTATGCGATATTTCTGCTAAGATATGATCTAGTACTGTCGGAAATTTCGTTTAATATAGACAACTGTAGTGTCAAAGCGCTTCTTTTAAATCCATGTTTACTGACTACATATACCTTATACAGTACCTCTATACTTTTATATGCGATGATTTTTATAGATTTTATAGACGACGGACATATTAAAAGAGCATAATTATGCAGAATTTGATTCTGAATGAGAAACTGGTGCGTACTTGTGACCTCATTTTTTCTTTTTCAAAGATCATTTTTAATTTTTTCAAACATAATGGACACCTTAAGAAATTCCTGCCTAACCGTCTCAATACAAAATGACCTATTGACGAGCACTAAAACTTTTCGTTGAACACATTATTATGCGTAAACTAAACTGCTTATCATTAGGGTGACCACCCTTAATGGGATATACAAACAATGTTTGAATTGGTATTTTTCTGGTTATTTCTTGTCAAAATATTTTTTACAGAAGGCCGAAGGGTATAATCTGTTGTGATGCTCGTGGGCTATGTATATGAGGCTCTTCAGCTGTGGCATACGATTGTCTATATATCGAGGTGCTGCGATGTTTGCATAACAAGGCTACGATGATCGGCCGAGTACAGTCCAAAAGTAGCAAATGTATGCAACAGCAGAAGGGTATAAGGCAGGGTGATGTCACATCTAGAAATGTGTCGAAAGATGTTATCGAGATAGTTTAAATCGCGCGCAGGTGAGCGCAGTGGACGAGGCGCGCTTCTCGGTGTTCGCGCCGTCGCGGGCCGCTCTAGAAGAGGCCCGTTCGCGCATCGCGGCGTGGCTGAGCGCGGGGCGCGCGCCCGACCTGGAGTTCGGCGCCGTGTACCGGGCGCGCGTGCTGGAGCTGCGCGACTGCGGCGTCATGGTGGCGCTGCACCCCGACATGGCGCCGGCGCTGCTGCACAACTCGCAGCTCGACCACCGCAAGGTGCCCGCACTTTCAACCACTTCTCGCTTCCGACCTCAACCTCGACCGACCCGCATTGGGTTGCAGTTTTAAGTTCTTAACGCCCGTTTGCTGTGAGCTCGTGATGCTTACCCGGACGGAGCTGCCAATTCGTGCAACAACACATGCTCTATGCCTTTCGGTCGTCAGATCCAGCACCCGTCGGCGCTGGGGCTGGAGGTGGGCTCCGAGCTGCAGGTGAAGTACTTCGGGCGCGACCCCGTCTCGGGCCAGATGCGGCTCTCGCGCAAGGCGCTCATATCGCCGCCGCCCGCGTTGCCGCGCAACCTGCACAGATCCTAGCGACGGTGCCACTCACCGACGTACACATTGGCACATTGTCACATTGTCACACTTGATCAAATAAATTAAATTTTTATTTATTTTCTTAGTTTTTTTTTTTTTTTTTTAATTTAAACAATATCCACCTCTCCTAACGTTTCGCAACACTTGTCTGTGCGAAAATATGAGGAATCCATCTGGTAAAAAGCTTCCCAAAGCCTAAATGGTCGTGTAGTATTTTTTGACTAACTCGTGCAAATGCCTAAGCTTGCCCGAGTTTGTTGGTAGGTCATTATCCTACTCCTATCATGATCGCACAACACTGATGTTTTCTTCAGATGTCGCTGTTGAAGGTCGCACCTCACGCAAATCATCACTGAGATTGCTTCGCCCACGCTGACACACATTAAACCAATTGTAAACAGTGGCAAAGGATGGTGCTTCATTATTAATGCCAATCGAATTCTATCATAGCTTTATTGCTGAGTAAATGAATGAAACATATCACAGGTTACCAAAGTATATGAAGTCTTCCAGTATCTGAGCTCTGCTGTGAAATATCCTACCAGTATTTAATATCCAATATGATACAGTTTTTACACGGGGTACCTAAATGTCACTATAATTGATTTATTATGCAGTACGTAATCGTCCGTTCCCTTTGACTGTTTGTGCGTATTCTTTGACGAGCTTCTATTAATCATGAGCAGCGCAGGTGGTGCAGTGAGGGTTAAATAAAACAAGAACTCATTTAGAAATTTTATTGAAAGAAATAATCTGTACAATCTAAGAAAAATATTGTATCACAAAAGGACGTTCTGTCGAAGGCACTACAGTACATCGCCCACCCTGGGATCAGTGTATATAATATTTGTGTGAGAATTTACTGGAGACTGCACAACGTAACGAACTTGACTATTATTTATGGCATACCGTTACCAGTAAACTCTCACATCCCGGGGCGGCGCTTAACATTTATTAACAAAGTGATTGTCAAAAAATAAAGGAATCAATAACAATACTCTTATCCCGACAGCGCCCTGAACCGCGCGTTCTGTCATATCGACTGTCTGTCGGATACCACAATTCATATAGTGCGGTCCAGGGCGCGGCCGCCTATAATAAACGATTAAATAATAAAAAAAAATATCATTACAAAACATCATAATTAACATGTCAAGTCCAAAATGTTTCCTTTTAATACTTGCAGTCTTTGATTTCGTTGTGACTACCAGCATTAGACCATTAGCTACACATTAATAACTATGTACATATTCGATGCGCAAGTGGTGTACGAATTAAATCGAATAGGAATGCTCAGCGCGGAGCGGAGCGGCGTGGCGCGGGACGTGCGCCCGCTGCGGCGGCCGAGCGCCGAATGGCGAAACGCGGTCGGGACGGGCCACACGGCGCGCCTACCCGCGGCGAGGCTTGGCGCGAGAGAATAAATAGGCAAGTATACACATGTACAGAGCCAAGCCGCGCCGTCTGGCCCGAGTGCGACATTAAATCGGCAAGTTTTCGAGGGGATTTTACACAAACAACTGTTCGTACAGCATTCATATTTATACATGCGACAAAAGTAGTTGAGATCATTTGACTAAGGTCGCCGACGCCATCGCCACCGTAAAAGCTAAACATAAGCCTGTGCAAACATTGCTACATTAACATAAAAAGCCACAATCGTAAATAGTGCTAATAATATATCATAGACGAACATATACATGAAGAAATATAACTTATGCCCCTCGCGCTCTCAAACAAAATGGCATTTAAGAGTTACAAACGCTCAGGTACGTTCTAGACGCGAATGTGTATCATTGATTTTACAAAATCAACTTAAAGGAGGATGCTCTATATTCCCATCGATTTCAATCGAATGTCATGATAAATAAATTAACTTGCCCTTTCTTGTCTCTCTCACAAAATAATTATTTTTCGTATTACGTAATCTAAATCACTCTTAGCTGCCAATTTAGAGAGGCGCTGTTAGTTAATCTTATCCTTAATCGATGGCAAGAATTCCCGAATGTTAATTGATAGCCTCAAATGGCGTCCAAAATCCTCGATCGCCATATAAAAATTAGGAAATGCACGTATAATGGATTTCGTGAGTATTGTAAAGTTTCGAGTCATTCGATTTCCCTATAAATTACATTCCCGATCGAGCGTCTGAAGGAACGTACATTTCGAATTATAAATAACATATAAAACTTTAGTATGTAAATAGCATTAAATCTATCGATTGGGTAACGTTTCGTTTTCGTGTGAATATAATGCGACGGCGCTGATCGACGATCAGTGGCTGAGGCCGAAGAGCTTGAGCGCGTTGAAGGCGGTGGCGAGCGCCACGTCCTGGGGACTGCGCCCCATGAAGCCGGCCGCCAGCTCCACTATCGCCGGCAGCGCGCACGGCTCGTTGCGTTGGAACGTGCAGTAGCGGTTGACGAAGTTCATCGACCTGGCACGCGATAGCTATTAGGGACGTATAAAGTTCCCTACAAATAGTTGCATTTTACAATATATTCACGTGACTGATTGATGAAATATTTGACATTCATTGATTGATATCCGTCGTTCACCTTCTCACACATATCGGCCAAGAAAGCCGATTGTAATAGGGTAGAACAGTTACGATATTGAAATGTAGTAATAGTAACGGTAAACATTAATGAGAACCAAATCACCGGGAACTCTTGCAGCGTAGATATCTACGTAGCGGAGAAATAAACCAATAAAAAGTATAGCTTCATGTGCTCGAGTAGTCACTAGCGTGGGCCGCATCTCAAAGGTTGTTAAATATTAGTTCCCCTAACGCTAAACATTGTGGTATCCGGGAGCCTTAATTACTCACCTCTCCGTGAGCGAGTCCTTGACGTGCAGCGGCAGCTTGGAGGCCCTCATGTTGGGGTACATGAACGGCGAGTCCGTCTCCACCAGCAACTTGTCCAGGGGCAGGATCCTCTCCGAGAGCAGCCGCCGGATGCCGCCGTCGGACTTGTCCTTGCAGATGTAGCCCGTGATGGCCAGGTAGTAGCCCCTCTCGATGTACCTCAGCCCCTGGTCCACGGTGCCGGTGAACGAGTGCACCACCACGGGCGGCAGCCTGGCGCCGAACTCGTCCAGGATCTTCACCAGGTCCTCCTGGGCCTCCTTCTCGTGGATGAACAGCGGCTTCTGGATTTGGCACGCCATTTCCACCTGAACCATGGGAAACCAATAGGAAATATTTTGTATAACTTGAATCGAATGGACAATTTTAATATGCCATTCACTCGGGTTGCTCGTATATGTTCATTTATTGCACACATTTTTAGAGCTATGAGGTGGTACGAATCTTATTTTTATATGCTGTAGTAAAATAAATAAATAATCGGAAGGCTCTGTTTTGGTTTTCTCAACTTGATTGCTTAAACAGCTGAAAATATCATAACGAAATCAGGGTTATAACATTCGAGCAATACACATACTCCAGTTATTGCTTGGGGTTAATTCGACTATCGAATGATGCACGCTTAAACGAAACCCACGGCAGATTAGCAGGTAATTCACACTGTGGAGCCGTAATTGAAGACAACGATACGTGCGGCAATTTTGACGACAGCTCACTGACTTCCCGCCCGAATATCTTAATACTTAATCAGACAGGTCTATAGTCAGTAGTATGTCAGGAAGAACACTGCAATATTTGAGGTTCCTTTGTCACGATTAATTAATTATTCATTATGTTAGCAGAGGGTTAGAGGTAATGCTCATGTATTAAAGATGCATCTAAGTAATTAGAAAATCTAAGTCTCAAAAACTGGGGTAGCGCAACTTTAATGATAAAGAGACTTATCGAGTGCCCATTATTGGACTGACGTATAAGAAGACTGAAGTATAAGTAATAAATATGAAAGAGAACAACGTCTCACGCTCTCCAACAAATTCGAAGGGCATTTAATCTCTGCATCCATTTCGGGTTTAAACAACTGCTTTTCTCCTAGGGCATGATACTCACGAAGCAATATAACGCATGCATAACGCTGATTACGCGTTGCGTATGCATAAGTCGCACTGATTATAGGTAAGCCTATTGTGCGCGTGGGGCGGCCCTCGTCAAACATGAGCTATTCATAGAGCCCTACGACCGAGGCCAAGGCGGATCGAGCTATTACTATATACGAGAGTATTGACTATTTTACAATGTGATATGAAACAAAACGATCTGAGATTTCGTAACGCAACCATAATTATGTTGTACAATACCATAATATATAAATGTCTTTTTTTGGTAAAAAAAATAAAGATTTTATTCACGTGACAGTAGCAAGGCGAAGATTACCAGGAATAGTGCAAATAGAATTACATCGCAAATTTTATCCATTCCATTTTATTCATATGGCTGATATCGCAGTACTGATAAAAAGTTTCAGAGTCTCGAAACATACAAGTCAACTGCAACACGATTCGAGATCTCAAATCGAAAACGCGAATGTGTCGCAACGTAATTCTCCCCGAAATAAGGTGATCTAATGACATTCGAAGGTGATTTCACAAGCCGTCGCTCGTTCCTCACGCACCGAAGGCAGATAATCCAATCCAGATAGTGATCGCGGAGTCGGAGATGGAGATAGGCAGATTGATAGGGCGCGAGCGCGTCTAAAGATAGCCGCGGCTGCAGCCGACGGCGGCGAGGTGTCGGGTGACGCGACGCGCGGGCGCAAGTAGGCCGTGAAATTTCGTGAGCGAGACTAGCCCGCGCCCGCGGCTACGGCCGCCGGAGACGAGGAATCTGGCTCATTGGCTGCACTGGCGCACGATTGCAAACGCTCTCTGATGCCGTATACACGGTTAGCCAACAAACTACGATTATATCTGGCCGTTTATTCGGTGTAAAAAAATTAGTAGAATACAAATAAAGTTAAGTAACAGCCTATAAATGTCCCACTGCTCTGCAAAGACCTTCTCTGTACAGAGGCTATCAGGGTGTATCAGAGTCCACCACGCGGTCCCGTAGCAGATTGGCGGGCTTCACATATCTTCGAAATATTAGTTAATTAACATTACTTAGAAAATATGCCGGTTTCTTCACGATGTTTTCCTTCACCGCTGAGCTCGCGATACTTCCGCACTTAAAATTTACAATTTCATTAGCGCCGGCACCGGGGATCGACTCAAGTTGCTCGAGTATATGGAAAAAGCGAGCGTACGGACAATGAACTAACACGGCTAATACAAAAGGTAAGGAGTTTTTTTGTAAAATACAATCTAGTACATGGTACACGTAATTTTAATCTTTAAAAGGGCTCCCAGTGAAGTCGGGTTGAAACTTTGTAGCTCGTTTTTAAGTGAAATTTCGTTGTATTGATACATAAGAGAGAAGAAAGATGTAACGTAGAACAAAAGAAAAAGAGACATTGTACATCCTATACACAGTTTATGCTACCCGAAGTTCGTTTTTATGCGGTTATTCGTTTTTATTTAAGAAGTTTCACTTCATATAACGCGTAATTGTTATTTTTTTATTTCAAAATAAGTCGTTTGGCATAGAATTGTCAAGACCCACCGCCAATTGCCGCCCCGAATTGGCCACCATTAAGATCGCGAGCCCATAAAATAAAGTACGCCGTGCGATCGCGCGGGTCCCGCAGATATGCCGCTAATCTCATTTGCTGCCTTCCGACGTTCACACGATTGGGTGCAACTGACGCATGATTAATGCCATAGCAATCGAGTGCGGCACAATGTACACACAATTGAACTTCTTGAAGACGTTAACAGACTTACAGTGGACGTTCGTACAAGATTCTTTTTTCTTATTTCGATGAGAATGAATAATAAAGACTGCCACCCAGTGGCACTCACAACGTCAGGCATGTTGCAGATGTCTCGTCAACCACAAAAAGAAAGAGAATAATGCCCATTTCACCATCGATACCCTAACTTTAAGGGACAACTAAAAAAATTTAAAGTACTAGTTTCGTTTTCACAAAGTGTCACCTAGTCTTAAGCGTGACACTGAAGTATCGATGGTGAGAACGGGCATAAGTCTCCGGTTACCGGAAGAAATTTTCAAGGGATTGAATAACAAAAACTAAACTTACATAAACAGAATGAAAGAAAATAAACAAAATTCATATATGAACATACGTTTACGCAAGCGTAAAAAGTATTTTTAAAACTCTTTCACGCTGCATAGAGAATCTTACAATACAATTATAAGACGAGAGAAGCAATGCCAAAAGTTGTACCTATAAGCGATTCTTGATGAGCCACCCTATATTACACACGATTGCTGATTGTGGCAACTTTCATGGAACGAATTTCTATTGTTATGCGTAAACGAAGCGTTTATGTCGCCTTAATATGCAATCTCAGGCGTAAATAAATAAAAAGGCAGTGTTTCTCGCATGAGTGTACATTTTATCTATTCGTACACAATTCTCTGCTTTACAGATATCAGGATAAGTATATTTGACTGGTACTTTATTTTAAAATTTGTAGAAAAAAATACGAGTAACTTTTTCGCCGCTGTGTTCTTTATTTATTTATGTAAATACCGTATACTATTACTACAGGTACTTAACATAATACAAAAGTATGGCAAATTATATAAAAATAAAAAAAATCGTTTTTATAGATGAACTGTCAAAAATATTAGCGACGTGACGATTCCGTCTGGGGCTGTCCGGAAGACGCCGTTTGAAAACCAGAAAAAAACTTCGACGGTTTATCGACAAAAAATTCATGGTTAACTTTCATCTAGTGCAGAGACTAGCACCAAAAATAAAGTTGAACATAAAAATAAAGACAAAATATTTATATTCACCAAAGTGATTCGAATTCATTCAGTGCATATAAAAATAGGTTCCTCCTTCATCTACCTTAATAGTTGTATCTAGTCTTAATTATTCTCATAAGTTTTAGTGTCAACTTAATTGAACACAAGTTTCCTTCGGAAGTAATAAAGGGTCGCCTTATGCTTTATGGCTCGATAAGTTCTATATATTGTTATTGACTGTAAGTAGTTAAGTAGGCAATCGTTAATGACTGCGTTTGATATCCGTTACTCATCCTGTCTGATTACGTTCAGGATACTAATGACTCCAGGGTCATTTCAGGCAGGCATTCAAATTTCCACGCATCAGGTAAGCGGTGCGGAATGTAAAGACGGTTATGATGTAAATGCCATGAACGCGTAATGTAAACGCATGACGAGTTCTCACTTTCTCCAACCTTCCCGCATTAAAACGCGACGTCAACTTGTATGGCAATTAAATTCAGTTACGTTTCGCGGTCGAACAAATTAAACAAATGTACTGTTACTCTAGGATATTACGCAACGAATAACAGAACACGGTATCAAAGATGTGAAACTAAAGCATATCGCTTAAAAATCTTTCTTTGGCCAATGTTTTGCCAAATACCAAGAGTATCCGAGTATGCGTCACTCAGTCTCTGGAGAGCGAATGAATTACCTCTAAGTAGCGTTGATCTCATTAAACGTCCTTGTAGCTCCGCAAAATATGAGCACGATTTTCGCGACGCTCGTCCGTTGACGAAAACCTCAGCTAGATGTATTGTATGTATGCTTTTGTGCGTCTGCACGGTTTACAATCCAGTCCATAGGTTTATGGTTTACACATTTAAAACAATCTGATCCATCTTTATGAGTATTCAAATTGTTACGATTACGAAATTGACGAGTTGCATGGAAACGTACTGTAATAACGGTATTGAATCACGTATTTTTTTAAAAAACATTGCCCTTTAGGATAACATTATCCTGGGTTGTAAGGACGTTTTATATACATAAATTTCACGCGGACCAACACCCAGACGCGAAAAAACTATCTGTGGGCGCCACACATAGCTGTCCCATTTGGGGATCGAACCGGACTGCGCTAAGGAGTCATCGATCATTGAATTACTTTAGTTTTAAATTGTTAGAGTAAAAGAAAGTATTTATAGCAAAGATCAAACATTTGGCCCTTAATCCACGAAACACCGCACGCAAAAAGATTATGGAAATTCGACATTTTAAATTTCTTTAGTCCGCATTCTAGAATGTTTTATAAATACAGACGAAAAGACGAGAGAGACTTGGGCTTTTTGAGTTTCGCCCGCTAGTTCCTCGACTGAGGAACTCTAATGGGAGGAAGAAAAAAAGGAAAAGATTCTCTGATTTGCAACTAATTGATTTATAAAAGTACTTGAATACTTTATTGAGAGTTATTTCAGTCAGCAACAACTGTTCTTCAATACAATGAATAATTATAGTCGGTCAGACTTACATCCAATTAGTAACATGGGAGTTCCTTTTCTTCTCAACCGAAATCTAACCGAGATAACCCTTTAAAAACCGGCAAGTACGACTTGGTAAGACGGTCAGACGGACGGATGGACGGACGGACAACCGTTTTTGTGATTTACTTTGATTTGAAATTTTTATACACAAACAATGAGCAAAAACTTTAGGCTCTGCGGGATTTTAGCCTGCGTCTTCTGGTTTCGCGCTCAGAAGGCACCAACTAAGCTAAGCAGACGATGAACTCTATCTACGTTCGCTCTATTACATTTTAGCAATGATTGGCGCATGTCGTGTGTATCCTTTACAGCATACAACACCTTACAAATAACACTCAACGTTGAATATTTGCAACGAGCGATATCACCATTACTCTTAAAAATTATCAAAATTAATAAATTTTAATTTAATTTACATACTTTATTTTACCATCGACCGGAAAAAAATAGGTAAAATGTACACAAGCTGAATGTTTTCATGTGTATTAACGATTTAAAAAGTAAATTTCGATTCCCGCTGCAACATATTGAATGACGTCTTTATTCGTAGTAACCTCTCCAAAGCCGCGGGTTATTTTTAACATTAGTCCTGCATTAGCCGGCGACAGACGTATTGTAAAGTCCTGCATCACAACGGCGCTTTTAAGTTTCTTTTGAAGTCGCAGGAAATGGATCGTAAATATGCAAACAATTCAAACCTATCTATTCTTGTATCTATTTTCAAAACTACGAGTAACTCGCTAATATGTTGAAACAACCTGAGTTCGATCCCCGGTGTCGGCACCAATGAAATTGTTAATTTTAAGTGCTGACTTATCACGTGTTCAGCAGGGAAGGTAAAACATCGCGAGGAAACCGGCACGTTTTCGAAGTAAAAACAAAAAATCATATGTCGAAGATATGTGAACTCTCGAAGGTATGCGTGGTGGACTATGCCCCAATAAAATTTGTACAGAGGAGGCCTTTGCCCAGCAGTGGGACACATGTAGGCTGTTACTCTACTAACCATACTCTGATTTGACTTCAAGTTTAAGGGATCCAAGTGGGAAACCTATAAATCTGAATGTATTTAAAATAGATGCCACCACCGTAGTAGTGAGCCACGTAGGCGTACCTGTCTCCGGAAGACGTGGCGCTGCACCTTGGGCTCGGAGAAGTCCTTGGTGTAGTTGAGGCCGCACTCGCCGAGCGCCACGCACTCGGGAGCGCGCGCCGTCGCGGCCAGCTCCGACCACTGCTCCTCCTCCACCATCGACTTGGCGTCGTGCGGGTGCACGCCTGCCCACACACACACTCTTTTCCTTGATTTAGGATAACATTATCCTGTGCAGTAAGGACGTTTTACAAACATAAACTGCACTTGGACAAACACCCAGGTGCGAAACAATTATCTCTGTGGGTCGCATAAGTAGAAACCATGGTTCCCAACGCCGAAGACACCTCGGTACTGTGATTCCTCCGCGGAATGATCCAATGGCAGTTGCCAATGTATTGGCTTGACACACGGATAATTGTTTTGTATATGGGTATTTGTCCACATGAAGTTTGTGTATGAAGAGCGTCCTTACAACATAGGATAATGTTATCCTATGTTATGTATGTTATCCGCCATCGCATGAATGGGCAGACTCAACTAGGGAAGTGCCATGGCCTGGCAGAAAGCCGGCTTTAAGTGGAATTGTTTCATATGGTAGAGAGATAACTGGGACCAGCTTCTTTAAATATAGTAATGCATCCAAAACCCCCCTCAAATATTGTAGAAATAACACCACAGTAATCACTTAACATCTGGTGAACTGCTCTCGCTGTTATCTCTCTGCTTGTACATATTCTAATATAGCCAAGTGAAAAGCACAATATGAAATGATTCTTTGACAATATGCTACAAGTCTGAACTTTACAAGTTTACTGAATATGGTTTTAAGTACAACAAAACATACAAAATTAGTTGTTTCAAGAATTGCTATTTAAAAATGAAAAATACCTATTATGTTAGCAATGGTAAATATTAATACTTATATTCATAGCCACTACTGATTATCTTACCAGCTGTGGAATAAATTGTTCCAGGATACAAGCGAGTCAGTCGAAGGGCCTCCTTGCTATTCCTCACCGAGGTCCCAGTGACCATGATTTTTTGAACGCCTGCACAACAAGCACAATTGATGATCAAGCCTAAACTCTATAAATGCTATAATATAATTAATACCAATTGAAATGAAAACTGTCAGCTCAATGTACAGAAAAAAAATTATCTAGGGCAAGCAGGCGATATCAGTATAATATATTTTGACGGCGCTTGCACTGCGTACGATTAATTTATGTCGACACATAGTGTACATATTTGCACGCGATTTTCAAAGCCTGTATTGTTTCCGTAATGTTCCTTGGACACGCACCTGCATCTTTTGCCCTTTGCACCACTGATTCGAGATCGCGACTGTACTTTTTGTTCGTTAAATTTGCGCCAATGTCGATTACAATAAGATTCTCATAACAACCCTTCAGTTCTTCGGAAATCTGCGTTTCTTCAGACGTCATCCTTAATTTTGTTTGAAGCTTATTCGTTCGGTGTTTACCTGTGAATGAACAAAATTATATATCTCTTCGACAGTTACTTACTCTTTGAGGAATTTGAAAATGAACTTACAAATTGTATCAAACACTCGTGCTTAATAAGCTTCCGAAAATTCTAATGACTAGCCAAAACGTACACCCTCCTTACTGAACTGCCACCATGTTTTGAAGTGAGTTTTCTACATATTTGGCAATGAAGTAACTAATCAGTTACAACGTCACAAGAATTTTTTAATACCTTGGTTAAGCTATTACCATTCGTCAAAAATAAATTTGTCCTTTATTTTCATTGGTTGCAAATATCAACTGTCATTGAAAACGTACTTCTGTTTCCTTACGTTTCGTTTTAATTAAACAAACAATGCTTAGATATTTATGACGGCTACTACATGTTAAGATTAGTTTATAATTATTTCTTATAATAATTATAATTATTTATATTAATTATTATAATTATTTTTAAAAATAACCGTATAAATATTTAAAACATAGATTTATTTTAAAATTCTTATAAAAGTTGTATAAAACCTGTTTATTAACTCAAGAATATTTTAAATCCATGATATTTTATTCTACAGATATGTTGTTGACACACGCAGATATGGTGTGGCCACGAAAACGTCCCAATTGGGACGTCTCTCAGTAGCTTCAAAAGAAAAGATATTTTTTTGTAAATAAAGTGAAAGTTTTGATCAATCAAGCAATCCGTAGTTCCGCCGTAGTTCAACACCCGATGTCGGCACCAATGAAATTGTTAATTTTAAGTCCCGACTTATATACTTATCATGGGCTCAGCGAAAACCTACATAACTTACTAATACTTCAGATAATAACAAAATAAAAAGCATGTAAAGTTTCGTCAATCCGCAGTGGAGTCGCGGCTCAAATATAAATGAAATCCTTTTTTTTGAGTAGTGACTATTTTTTTATATTAGTTAATAATTTTTAGTATAAATTTGGTGGACTATTCCCTACTACCTTCTGTACTTAGGAGGTTTTTCTCCAGTAGTGGGACAAAAAAGTCTACGACTAAAAGACTAAATAGTAAATAGTAGTGATTAGTGCTGTAACTTTACTTTATTCATATGTGTCATCATTTTATTGTTCTTTGGTTGAAAGTTTATTGGCCACAGTCAGAGTTGATAAAATTATAAAAAATAATATTGTCAACTTGTCAGTTGTCACCAAACGTAGTGATTAGGTACATTTTCTTTGGTTGTCACTAGCGATGGGTCGTTGAAGGTATTTTATTCAACTTAACGTTAACGTTGATTCATGTTCGTCAACTAGTTAACGTGAACCATACATAAATATTTTAAACAAGCCCTTTCTTCTAGGAAAACGGATGAAAACTATCTATTTTTTTTCTTTAATTTTTTTTTTTTTTTTTATGTGTAAAGTTGCCAAACGAGCAGACGGTTCATCTGATGGTAAGTGAATACCGCCGCCCATGGACATCTGCTACACCCAAGGGTTACAGAGGCGTTGACAACTTTATGAAAATTGGGCTCCGGCTACCTCACTCACCCGACGAAACGCGAAAGTATTTGTCATACTTCCACTTTACGCTGGTTTTCTGTGAGGTCATGGTACTAACCCGGACGGGCTTGCCCATTCATGCAACAGCCGAGGCTGCTACGTCGCCCTACCACCGTAAAACTAATTTGTTTAGTTGTTTGAAACTAATTTTTTTCTTATCAAAATCAACCATCATACGCTGGTGTTTAAAGATTGGTACTAAAACACTGATGAAAATATTTAAATTTATTTCCGCTTCAAGTAGTTTTTAAAGTTAAAGTGGTCAATTTGTTCGATATTTTCTCCTTACATACATTACACACAGCTTTTCCGCTAGAACTGTCTTTTTAGGTATGAAGCCATAACTCACTGTTAATACGTTCAATTATTTTGATTTTTGTACCCACAGTCCTCTATACACTTAAATAATCATAAATTAAAATAAAAAAAACACTAACCACAAAGTAAAATTCTGATAAACAAAATTAATAACATAAAATAAAATTCCAAATATAATTAATTAAAAATTAACAAATTCACAAAAAAAAAACACTAAACATGAAGTAAAGTTCTGATAATATTTACGCAAAGCCGCAAAATATTCTATAACCTTGCGCGCAACTATTCACAAACTGTCAAACAAAAATAAAGAAAGCGAACTAAAACGTGTTCTCCATAAAACTAAACAAACATTTCAACTCAACTCTGTGACGTTTTTTTCAACATAAGTTTTTTTCAACGTTAAGGTTTTCAATCTTGAATGGTGGATGTGGCTCATGGGATCGCTCTCAAACCAAAAAGACACTTAAGGAGTGATAAGAAAACTGTTTATTTCAACTTAAACATTTTGAACTTATTTTAGACCAAACGTAATGAATAAGAAATTTATATAAAATACAAGAGTTATGTCAGACAGCTAGACATGTTACTTCTACAAACGATTTTTACGGAATCTATCAAATATGACAAAATTCAGTCTGAACAAATAAAACTAACATTCCAAATTTAAAGTAATTCAAACATAATACATAAATCTAATAGGTCAGAGTTGATATCAAAAGAGTATGTATAATCTGAGATTACCAATCAACATTCAATTCGTTATGCTTATGTTCCGTTGACTTAACGTATCGTTGACTGCGTTTTTAAACGAATTGATTCAACGACATAATTTCCGAAACGACGTTAAAGAATTCAACTAGTTGATTTCAATGACAGTTAAAGTTAATGCGTTAATAAGAGATCAACGGTTGATTCAACTAGTTCGTTGATTCAACGCCCATCGCTAGTTGTCACTGTAACTGTCACTGTCATTGTCTCGTCTGTTTTGTATAAGTTTTATTATTTTAGATCTGATATAAAAACGTATTTCAGTATTGCGAAAATGGCATTTAAAACGTTTGTTAACAAAAATTTGGTAATTATTGTTATGGTACCATTTCTAATAGGAGCGCATTATGGTTGGGCTAAATTACAAGAAGTTGACGCCCTTGTCAGTCCGGAAGAGCGCAAGAAATTGCCGTTTTATTCGGTAATAACTTTCTTATATAATATTCCTATCAACATTGCTATCAGTGCTTTTTATAATGTATCTTTTTACATATAAAATGTAAATTGCTTGGCGTATGACACTCGATTATAACATTGTTTTCTTTGTAGAAAATATCTAAAACTTTTTAGGTACCTAAATATAAACATATATCGTATATTACACCCCAACCACAAACATTCTTGTGCCTCATTGTTATAATAATGTTAGAAAATAAATGCTTGCGTTATCAACATCAATGACTTGTCAACCAGATCAGAACCCCGTAGATTTATGTTATGAATGTAGGCATAACAACAAAATGGAACTGCTGACATACCCTTGATAGAAGTTAGGTTAGGTTAGTTAGTAAAACATGTTACAATTATGTATATCAGCAGTGACTGACATAATTATAACAGAATATAATTAGTGTTGTCATAACCTCAAAATTTCGAATACTACTATTTCCCATGATTATGATGGCTGTTCCAGTTACCTTAACTACACCCTCCTGCATTAAAATCTAGTGGTATAATTGTAAAACAACCCTCTGTGTTTTTGTTGATGAGGTTGAAAAATGATAGCTTTTAATAGTGTTGCTTTATAAGTTGTGCTTTTAATACTGTCATCACCAGGCATTGAGTAAATATAATCTAAAGTAACATCTAAATTTATAATATTTGTTCCAGTTTTTTAAAAATGAGGATAAGTAGTTTTTAAATTATTGAAGAATGAAATGCAGTAGAAATTGTAAATACTTAGCATGGACATACTTTAACTTATATTCTATAATATGCAAAAAATGGGTGACATCATGTCAGTTTTGAAAGAAAATCATTGGCAACCTGCATTTGTATCAAATAGCTAAGTTTGTAAAACCAAAACCAAGTAAGTACAATTAAGAAATATGTTAAAAAATTGTGAAGAATACTTAGTACCTAAGTAAAATGTAAAAAACAGTAAAACTTAGAAAAAAATTGTTAGTTACTGAACATAACAAAAATATATTTAATTTACATAAAACTTCTGTTGTTTTATTGAAGTTTAGTTTCAACTGTTAAATTATGGTACCTGAAGTGGATGCGAGAGAAAATGAAAACAATACAACTAAAATAAAAGAACTAAAAAGTAATCTTTGAAAACTATAAACATTATTGTAGTATACGGCATGTCATTACAACCACGAAAATAAATGAACACATGTCTAATGCTACTTGCCAATAATCATAAAAAAATCCATAATTAAAAAAAATATTTTTCAAACAACAGAGCCGTGATAGCTCAGTATCTGGGCACTCGCCTTTAATTTTTCATTCGTTGCCACAGTGTCACATTACAAGCATCTCCTTCTAACAGTATGTTTTGTTTCTTCTAAATTCATTCAACCCATTCATATGCTTTGTGACCTTTACAAATGAACTTTATGTTACAGTTTTATATGTAAGGGACTAAGGGTGTCCTAAAATTGTTTGTTTTGGAAAATTTAATAACTCCGTAAACATTGATGTTTAAAGAATGTAAATGTTTACTACAATTTTAAAAAGTTATCCACTATATTATGTGTGTTCATTTATTATCGCGGTTGTGATGACACGCTGTATAATAACTCACAATTATATTACTTCTAATTCAGTGTGAATTAGAAGTAATATAATTGTGAGTACATAAAAAGCTTTATTTTAATTCTACTGAACGACAAATGTAGGTATAAAAAGCATAAAGCCTCATTGCTTATCTACTAAGGTTATGCGCTAGAGACAATTTTAACTACTTTGACCACTAAGCAGATATTTTCAGTAACTGCACATACACAACTTGCTTCATAGTAGCTTTGCTATTACTTTTCTGCTGTTTTATTACTTATGTTATGAACTGTGCTGTAATCAATGTCAGTCAACCTTTTTTTACAAATTGCTATAACAATAATTCTGGACCTCAGAGATAAACAGCATTATGGGACACAATACAAATCTTTAAATGCAATATTGATTATGATTTCATATATGATTGGACAGTTCATTAATTAGGCGTCCATAGGACTTAATGCTTTATACTATTATGCAGAATTTGTTCTTGCGATTTTAATGGTGTAAGTAAAATAATTTTGAAAAATGTGGAGTTACTATTGTATGCCTCTGAGGTACAGAATTGGATTAAATTCTCATGAAGCACGGACTGCTTTATTTGCCTGCTCATTTATGCAACCGACTTTGCTGATGTACGGTAGGTCCTTTCGGGGAAATAACAACCTCACAACTTAACTTCTTCATACTTCACAGTAGAAACTTCCCATATTCCATCCACACAGATCCAACATTTGTTTCTTAACGGAATATGTTTCTGCTAATGAATGGACAACCTCATCTGGGAGTACGAGTACTACTAGCTCACAGACGACCAGCCGAAAATGGTAGTACTAGTAGTATACTTTTGCATTTCCCCTGATACATTACATAACTGACTCATAATTGTTGGCAACGCATCTGCTTTGCATTATCACGGATGTTAGGCGCTGGTAATCAACTAAACACTTGTCATCAGTGTCCTTGTTCGGGCCACCTTTAGTTAGGTATTAAAAATTGGTTTTAATGCTTGAATATACAAATTATTATTATATGTCCTCGATATACAGCGTGTCGTTACCATCGCGACAATGAATGAACACACATATAGAGGATAACTTTTTAAAGTTCTATTAAACATTTAAATTCTTTAAAAATCAATATTTACAGAGTTATTAAATTTTCCAAAACAAAGAATTTTAGAACACCTTACTTATAAAAGCGTAACGTAAAGTTCATTTGTAAAGGTCACAAAGCATATGAATGGGTTGAATGAATTTAAAAGAGACAAAACATAATGTTAGAAGGAGAGGCTTGTAAAACGACACTGTGGCGCGAGTTGTATAGGTGTTACAAATTTTGTTTCTTTTTTGCTTAATTAGCTTATTTGAAAAATATTTTTTAATTATGGATTTTTTTAACGTTAATATTTTTTTATGATTATTGGCAAGTAGCGTTAGACATGTGTTCCAAAGAGAATGTAATCACTACGTTTGTGTCGGTGTGTTCATTTATTGTCGCGAAGGTAACCACACGCTGTATATAAATAAAGAGGCAATTATTAGATCAATGAGAGAATTATTTATAAAATAAGATTAAAATTATTTAAAAGTAAAAACCGGCCAAGTGTGAGTCGGCCTCGCGCACGACGCGTTGCGTAACATTATATAGAAAAACGGCAAAAAAACTCACGTCTGTTGTGTGGGAGCCCCATTTAAATATTTTTTTATTCTTTTTTAGTTATTATAGCGGCAACAGATTATGTATTTAATCTGTCTCACGGTTCCTGAAATATATCCTGGTGATATACGGACGGAAAGACAGACAGACAGCGAAGTCTTAGTAATAGGGTCCCCTTTTTACCCTTTTGGTACGGAACCCTAAAAATATGGCAGATTAGGCCAGGGAAATAAGATCGGACCCTTCAACCGGGCTTCCGCCTTGTTGTGGCAGAGGGGCTCAGTTGCCGTGGCTTGGTAACCTACGGTGAAGAATTATAACTAACAGAATCTACAGATACTATTTCAACCGTTTGTTAGTCTCACGCAAAAATCATAATTATATTACCCTTCCTTATCGTTTACCTTCCTCATCCTTTTTGTTACTTGAATTATAGATATCTAATTCGGTGCATCATAAAAAAGGAAGAAGCCGTTAACTCTAACATTGGTTGAAAAAACCCTTCATCAGACATAAGTGGTTGACTTTGGTGTCTTTTAACCTAAATGAGACTGGTCAAGTGTTTAGTACAGTAGACAAGTACAGTGAGTAAGTACAGTAGTATAAATCGTCGAACAGTAGCAATTCAACTTGTCTTGCAAGCTGCCTTGCATTTGACCGAAATATAATCGCTTTTGGTACAAGTGAGCCCTTCGCGCACCAGCTAAACACCTGCGGAGCACTTGACTCGTAAATTGCTGTAGAGTAAACAGTCAAATTAGCACAGTGGCCGGCGAGAGGCAATTAAATTGCCTCTCGCCGGCCACTGTGCTGCTCCTCCTGCCGCGTATTGCTCGTCCGTTCCGACAGAGAAATGGCACTGTACTTGCCGTAGTGCAAACATCGACTCGTCCGGTGCCCGCCACTGGCCACTGTACTTGTACTCGCCACTGCCCTTGGCCAATATAAATCGGGTTTTAGTGTGGTACCGTTTACGACGTGTGGTGAGTACTGGTGGGTAAATGAAAGAGCTATGGGCGGTTAGGGCTTTATTGGGGCGGCGGGTGTGTGGCGGCGATGCCGGCGGGAGGCGGGCGCAGTCAGATGGTGGGCAGGTGGGCGCGCTCGGGCGGCTTGTGGCGCGGCGCCGCGCGGCCGCACGCCAGCGCCGGCAGCAGCGGCGACGACTGCACCTGCGCGCCCCCACTCTCTTCACCGCCACAGCTCGATTCACACATGAAAAGCGGTTCTTCTCTGGACAGGTCTAGTTTAGTGAATGGTACGTTTTTGACGGTCAATAAGTCTGATTTTGAAGGCAATGCAAACGTCCATAGGTAGCAACTTGTTAATAAAACTTTACCCCTATCTTCGCTTTACTTTGCGTACTCGCAACCGTGCTTACCGTACTTAATGATTCGATTACTACGTTTTTGTAGCTTGTTCTTTTACGCTTTATTGTGAAATAGTAAAAAAATTCAACCTTTTAGCAAGACTAGTACATAATGTAGTGAAATTTATCACAGACGACATCTCAAAATAATAAGTTTTACGAACACTTGAAAGACAATATCGTAACATACATTAACCATTTTATATAATTCCTGAAAAGTTAAGACACAGATCTTTCGATTTTCGTGTTCCATAACGTTTTGTCTACTACAATGCTGTAATATACTTTTAGCAGGCATTTCTCTGTTTGCATAAAATAAGTATGGAAGTTTAACACATATTATACGACATTCTTTTAAGTGACTAACCAAAACTCTGATAAGTAATGCTGATCGCAAAATCATTATGGGGCGTTCAACGCAATCACTTCTTGCTTTTCTTCTTCTTTGCAGATTCCGTTTCGGAGACGTCGTGGGTGTGGGCCGCAGGGGAATCGGAGCGACGCTTCACGAAGTCTTGCTAAGGGATGGCATAGGTCCAGGGTTAGGGGCGGGATGGGGTGTGGGGCTGATTAGGATAGTAGTGTACACGTAACACGTACGGTCATCTAAACAGCTTAAAACGGTGACAAAACGATAATTCGAGCTTTCGATTGAATTTATCCTTAAAAAGGACGACTTGACTCGATTGTTACAGATGTTCACCGTTGAATGGTTCTTTGTAAAGGATACACACTAGATGGCGCCAAGACTTGCTAAAAATGCATTAGAAATGAGGCCAGGCCGCTTAGCTTAGTTGGCAAAGCGTCCCGTGCGTGTAACCGGAAAACGCAGGTTCCAAAGTTTTTGTTCATTTATCTACAAAAATTCACAATTTAAAGACTTGTACTAGCTGAAATTTTGTGTTGCACTTTATCTCGATGGGGCTATATGAATCGCAACAAAATATCATCGATGAAATCCAACGCCTCACCTGCCCCCTCCTGGCCTTCTCGTAGTCTTCGCGGTGCGCTGGTGGGGCGCTGAACAGAAAGTTCTCGAACATGTGGTGGCGGAGCAGCTGCTCGCAGCTCCACCGCGCCACTGGGTCCTTGTCCAGGCAGCGCTGCTCCGTACAACACACCGCGTTACGCTCCCTATCAATACTAACTAATCCGTACACTGTAGGCAGTTAGTAATAGCTATTAAAGCCAAAAGTTATCAACTGATTTTATGAAAATAGCTTATACTTTACATCGCAGTGGACACAAATCTATATGTTAGTGGTTACATACAAAGTTAGTTACAAACTTTTAGACTTAATAACTGACAAATAATAAAATGACCGAACAGCTACTCACACAAAAAACACATCTTAAACGCCCAAATAGCGACAAAGCATTAATAAGGCAGACAGTTTAATACTGATGCACATGATCAATAAAACTTATAAGAAGGATTTTTGTTTTATTAAGATATCTAAAAAAAGAAAAAATATAAGAAGTTAAATATCCATCCATTAAAAAAATATTTTAAATCTAATTGTTCCTCTTTAGCTATCGAATATTACTGTCTCAATAATATTTGAAGTCATTAAACTCTATGATAGTATATTATCATAGTACATTACCATATCGAATTTGCCGTGATTAAACTATCGTCTGTAATACAACTATGTTATCACTAAACATCAGTCTGTTGAGGTAAAATAAAATACGATATATAGCCTCAGTTTTTCGCCCAAAGTATCAACATGAGTAATTAAAGAGTATATATTATATATATATATTACATTACCATGGCTATAATATGCATGATAATACTGAACATAATATTTACTTTAAGAAAATCCATCAGGAGTTCGTTGTTCGCGTACCGCTGAGGAATCTTCTTCTCCAACAGCTGCAAGTGGGTGGGTTCCGGCAGCGCCATGCCCTGCACCCGGCACGCGTCACAACCCGAAACACTTTGTAATTTTATGTATATAGAAGCGGTACTTATAAAAGTACATTAGTAAGAACAAAATATTAAACAAATTAATCGCTCTTACTGTTAATAAATTGACTACACGAAATCTATTAAGCAGCCAAACGAAAGGAATTTAATGCAAATTTAACAAATATTTTAAGGATGTAATCGAAAAGCATAATTATGTCAAAAATCTTCGCATCGGACTATAACATTTTAATCAATAACAATACTTAATCAAAACATCAGCTTTACTTACTTAATTAAATATTGATTTTATTTTTATGTCATTATTTGACTAACTGAACTTTTGGCGCTTATTTTTAACTCAACTTGCGCCTCGAGCTCTGTACTAAACTTATTGGCATAAGATCATAAACTTTTTGAAAAACCACAGAAAAAAGAAAACGTGAAACTTTATTACTTATATAGCTAAAGGTGCATGAATCAAGGAGCTCTATCCAATTAACGGTTGCCTAATGCCTAGTCTATCTTTATATATATGTACGTGTAATTCTTTTGTACGTTTGGGAAGAGTTCAGTGACATATATGTCACAGACTCTTCCCAAACGGCTGGACCGATTTTAGTGATTTTTTTTTGTTTGTCTTCACGTCGATTCGAGAATGATTTATATTCACTACAACTTTTTTTTTTTATAAGTTGTCGGATTTAAATCGCGTGTACAGGACGTCTTTCGGGTCCGCCAGTAGAATATATAATTGTTACGAGTATCATACTCGCGTACAACGCGTCAGTTGGCCACTTGCCTGAAAGAAGGTGTTCTGCGAGAAGATGGTCATGTGGCGGGGCAGGAGGTCGCCCAGGGTGCACCGGATGAGGTGCAGCTGGTCCAGGTCGCTCTTGCCGGGCCACAGCGCCTCGCCCGAGAGCAACTCCGCGAACACGCAGCCTACGATGGCCACAGGACACGCGTCACGTTCTGCCACCGGCCCGATTGTACCCGACGGGACGCAACTACTCATGGCGAATGACATAGTCTTCCCGCCAAAGTACAATATACATAGTTTCGTTCAACGTTCAAGTTCAACCTGTTATAGGTTGAGCACGCGTCTGTAATATTTCAGATGCGTTTGAGCGGCAGTAATTCATATGAATCGAAAGCGCAATAAGTAGGAACATAATCAGAAATATTTCTATAATTATATAAGCAGGAAAAATATCCAGGACAGCCACTATATGGCGTGTGGAGGACAAACCACTTTAACATATTTTAGAAGAGAACTTGCCTTTCTTGAGTGATGCATAAACGTATTGGTAAAGACTTTGTGCTTTTGTGTTAATCCCGTAACTTCACGAATTAAACGATAATGGGAACGAGAGCATTTTCAGTGGGTAGACATGCCACACACCCAGTCACTATAAGCAAGTAAGGTTTTCATGTCATTATAAAAATAATAACAATTACAAAACATTGGGATCAGAATCCTAATAGGGAATGTAGAGGCATTTGATCAACGGTCCCGTTATATTAGTTTTATTGTGTATATGATGTGTATTACGATTGTAAAAGGTAAAAGGACGAACACGAGCCCTCCATTAAATGACAATCGGGCCAATTTATCGAGCTAAGCATAAAATATGGGCATTGTGTCGGGAGTTGTCGAACATGGAAATTATTTTATATAAACACATTGAATATTCTCTGGTCTAATGTGAGCTGATTATTCCCGCTCTTGCCCAGAAGAGGTGAAAGGGCTCACCGATCGCCCAGACGTCCACGGGCGTGCTGTACATGGTGTCGCCCACCAGCAGCTCCGGGGCGCGGTACCAGCGCGTGGCCACGTAGTCCGTGTAGCTCTCGCCGGGGCCTGGACATGTGGGCGGAAACCATCGTCAGCCCCTCGGTCACGTCGACCCTCGATACATCGACATACTTTTTTTACGTGAGAAGGTGGCAAGCGAGCTGGCGGTTCACCCGATGTTAAGTGATAACCAACGCCGATTGACACATACAACACCAGTAGGGTTACAGATACGTTGCCACCTTATAATAAAGTGGGCCCCGGCTACCACACTCATGAAACGCAGAAACATAACACTTCCACTTGACGCCGGTCTTCTGTGAGGTCGTGGTACTACCCCGGATGATACAATAGAGAAGACTTGCGTAGCGCTACCACAGTAATTCGAATTTATTTAAATTAATATGCTGAAACACGTTAAATGGTTTGGTTGAGTTCTGTTGACGATGAGAATGACCAAGTTTGGTTTTTCGAATCAGAGCGTTACAATTTAAAATGAGGAATTCTTCAAATCAAACGTGGATAGCGTTTAAAAAAAATAAAAATCACAGGAGTAATACGTAAACGGGGTCCCATCCCATCTTTCTGATAGATATCAATTCCGGTTAAAGACTGCGATAATTTTCCGTTTTTAAAGTTGATGTTGCTTTTGCCTTTACTATATTCAGGTCGACAGTTCATAGCCTTGTATTGGAATTCGACGTGTAGGCGACGTTTTTAGGATGCCGCATGTCTCACTTTCACATGAGCAACAAAACTGTAATGTAATGTATATAATGTAATTTCAGCCACGGACCAGTAAAAAAAATACTGGCGATAGGATATAAAAATTGCTTCTAAACCTATTTTCATCCCTACTGAACATACATATAAAATTTTATCAAAATCGGCCAAGCCATTTCAAAGGAGTATAAACACTAAAACTGTGACAAGAATTTTATTCATTAGAAGATGATATAATAATATTTTTGTATTAATACGTTGTTATTCTGCTTTGTCATACTAAAAATAAATAAATAAATAAATAAATTAGGTTTCCATCATCACTGTCTACTAGGAGTGCTAGTAAGTCATTTGGAACAATAGAACCCATGTAGATCGGAATAAAACAATTAACTCTCTGGTACGGTTAACTCTCACATTAGGACGTGAAAGAACTTTTATTCCCGTGACCTTGAACGCGGAAAATGGCTCGAAACGGGAACAATTCAAATTAATACAATTAATACAAACAATATGATATGATGATGATGTCTTCTAATATTCTATGATATCAAACATTCACAATCTTTGGCCGTCATTCATAATTGATACTTGAACACAGAAGTAATATTGTTTGGTGGCGTCATATTGCCAAATCTCTTTGCAACAACTCCAATGGGCAACGTTGGTAATCTGCCGTAAAAATCGACGAGCATAGAGTTATCGGCTACTTGGCATTTGGAACATTACACCATTTCTGATGCCTAGCAACCTGCTCACTTGAAGGTCGCTAAGGTCGTGAGGTAATAGTTCTAATTGGCCAGTGGTTTATATTATATGAATTAACTTTGCGCATAAACTTGTCAAGATGACTTATTGACGCTACTACCAGCAAAATTAGAGGACTTTACTCCCCTCTCTACCTTCCATTCGATTTAATAGCTGAATATTTTTAAGTATCTAGCAAGAGAATTGTCAAGTAAAAAAATCCTCCTTCCTCTAATATGGTTTATCTCTATAATGGTTTATCTCTATAATGGTTTATCGACATGTCAAATTGAACCGTAATTAATACAGTTCTTCTGCGGGAGCAATTGGACTAGCCACTGATAAGTAAAAACTTATCTCAAGGCGATGGATATGAGGCAATAAAAGCTGCGAGTGTGGTTTGACCCTCGCCGATAGCTGCAAAGTTGCGACATTGCCAACTGCGCAGTTGCGCGCCAATTCTTAGGCGTGCTTCGAAGTTGCGAAAAGCACGTTATGACATTTAGATGGAGCAGGCATCGCATAATCTATAGTATCCCGCGTACTGTTTCCCAAAATCATTCACTAGAGGCTAGAGGGGGGTGTTTGTGTTGGTGAGGGTTGATGTCAGGCAGGCCAGCCGTAAAATTCATAGCCAAAACCAATTACAACATGATTCGCATGTTGCGCCGACCCCGCCTAGGTGAGATCAGGGCAGGAAGATCATGATGATGATTTACTGGAGGCTGGTGCCGTAAATTGCAAACCGTATATTACAAATAGCAGTTCCAAATCTGGGTGTATTTTCTGCCTTTAAATTCAGATAAGGTCAGAAATGTTTTTCATGAACTTAAATAATAACGAGCCTCGATAATACTAATTACAAGTTATAAAACTACTTAATGAAGGAAAGCTTAAGATAAGAGCAATGAATTGGGATAAATATTTACTAGCTCTCTTCCTTACGTCCACGCCGAAGGGTATCATGGTGTGCACGGAGTACTCTGAGGAGCAGCTGCCACCTGGGAACGGAACACGGGAGCGACATGAGGGATTCGGGATAGGATAGGATTAGTGGTCGCAGAGCGCTTCAGACAAGTCTAGTCAAAAAGCTTTGATGTTTAAAAGAAGCTAATGTTGCTACTCAGCAAATGAATATTATCCTATAGGATAATGAATATTATAAACGGGTTCGGTTCTTAAGCCATCTTTGTCTTTACCCTTAAGATTTACCCTTTAAAATTAAGTAAAAACAAATTCTTAATATTAATGTTCCATTCGTCGCAAGATATCGCCGTAGTAGAAATTGACCTTAATTGGATTACTATGTTGGAAAAGGGAAAGATAAAGATATACGGGCTCATCACGGGAGCCGTTTGTGGGTGCAATTCGTTCAGCCGCGAGGAAATTGTGATTGATGAGGCAACAAATGGCGGGGGTGAGCGAACTCTCACCTTGAAGGCCAGCGTTCTGATATAGCGGCATTTCAGTTGAGTAACGGCGTAAAAAGAACTCTGGCTAAGTAAGCCAAATGACTACAGTAATCATATTACTAAAATGTCGTTTCATCGGTTACAATCTTACATTAAATACCTACCAGAATGTTATGCTTCTACATGCAATAGATACGAGTATCATTGATTTAAAAGTAGCCTTTTCCTCGTACCCTAGGGAAACTATTCAGTGGATGTAAATGACTCAAATTCAAACGTCTTTATTCAATATGTAAGTATAACTTATCGATTTTCAAAACTCTACTACTATCGGTTCGGAAAAGAAAAGCCGCTGACCTGAGAAGAAACGGTGAATGAAACTTTACCTATAATTGGAAAGAAAGTATTGGCAGTGTCTAAATGGCGTCTGATCGTGATCTAGTTACTTTTGATCATTTCGACCAATTGATGTACCTATATTCACAAAACGATTCGTTTTGTTACGAAGGTCCATAGCTTTGCGAGGAGACGCAGCCACTAATCAAAAAGTTCACAACATCGCCTGCTGCGTCTGCGAGCATATGGTACCAACTTCCGTCCTCTTTCCTAATTATGCGCATTAATAATAATTATAATTAATGTTTTATCGTAGTCATATTTAGATATTCTTGTATTTCTATCACGACGGACGGATTCGATTGACATTTAGAGTGAATGTAGCTTATACCTACGTGCCGTGATATCTTATGTCCGGGCCCAACCTAAGTTTGGTCACCAATGAAATTGTTAATTTTACGCGCTGACTTATCACAAGCTCAGCGGCGAAGGAGAACATCATGAGGAAACCTACATATTTTCTAAATAATACCAAAAAATGTTTCGAACATATGTGTAGTCCGCCAATTCGCCATGGGGCCGCTTGGTGGGCTACGAGTATGTACTAATACCCCCTGTCCAGAAGAGGCCTTTGGCTAACAGTGGAACATATATAGGCTGTTACTTTTCTTTACTTTACTTATAGCTTATACCTTAATACTAACGATGTTCGGTACGGGAAGAACCGCGCGAACAAATCCGAGGGTGAAAGGCAGTGGACGGTGCGGAATCGCTGTTGGTGCTACCGCCCAGGATACGCACTGATCATCCTGGCGAAGCCGAAGTCGCACAGCTTGACGACGCCGTCGGCGGTGAGCAGAATGTTCTCGGGCTTCACGTCACGGTGGATGCAGTTGTGGCGGTGGCAGTAGGCGACGCCCTGCAGCGTCTGCCAGATTATCTGCTTCGACAGCAGCTCGGGGCAGCCCTGCGCAAGCACGTTCTATTAGTCCATATCATATACAACGAGATATTTGAGTATGAGATCAGCGTCCGATACTGTCGAGCACCTTGGAGCTTGGAGACAGGAAATGAAGTGTCACATCCGGAACGGCCAACACATTTTAGGTTAGAAACGGAATGACTAAAACGTCAAGGACTAACAACACATTGCAAACTTCGACACGTTCAGAGAAATTTTGAAGTTTATTAATTGTACTTTTTCTCTCCAATGTACAGATCCATAGGATATCACACAATTAGTTGTACAATACATTAATTCAAAAAATATTTTCTGTAAAAATTTGTAGGCAAAAACGATTTTTTGGGTTCGACCAGTCTAAGCCTAGACACCACTGGCCTAGAAATAACAGATATAAATCAGTAAGTCAACCCAGGAGATCTTCAGGGCCTATGTACATAATATGTATTATTCTACATATTATGTAGGATAAGACGATACAGAGTAATTTTTATATAATTGGTAATCTCAGCTTGCAAGACTTTAATAGTGAATGTTTGTAGATAAGTTAATAGAAACTTAGAGAGCGGGAACCGAACCTGCGTCTTCGAGTTAACCGACCACATAGCTTAGTCGCTAAAGGTGGCGCAAAACCGGAAGACGTGGGTATGATTACCGCAGCGCCGCAAGTTTTTGTTCATTTATCTACAAAAATTCACATTTTTATACGGGGTAACTTCCAGACACACAGCAAATAATCGATAAACAGACCCAATTTGAGGTTGCAATATCTCCTATATTTTAGTTTTCCGCTACACGCGATCGCCTTTGCGCCCTCGATATAACTGTAAAAAGCGATAAAAATAAAATTGTGAGCCTCCTACTAAACGAATCCGGCATAATGTTGTTCATGTTTTTTCCTAACTGGTTCATTAAAGTAAACTGCGGGCTAGGAAGAAATATGCGGCGTACCGATATCGATGTACGCAGCTTGATGAATTGGAGCAGATCACGCGACAAGACGTGGCGTGCGTCACGCACCACTCGACGTAATAATAATAAAACATTTCATACAAATGATGTGAATGAATGATGCGCTAATATCAAAGGGCGTGGATACATTTTTCGAGATCTTGAACCTACTATCGAAAACTCGCGACCGTTACGCATATCTTTATATAATTCTTCTGTGTATGTCACTGAACTCCTCCTAAACGGCTAGACCGTTTTTTTTTTCTATTTATGAGTTGTTGTTGGTTGTCCGACAGATTTAAGTCGCGTATACAGAACGTCTGTCGGGATCGCTAGTGTAATACAGATCGCTTTGATATCACAGTGACAATTTTACTAATAATCCAATAATATCTTCACAAAGGATTTCTGAAATCGATATTATTTACGATTTTGTTTAATTGAGGCTAGTGCTTTTTTTTAATAAATATTAAGTGTTTATTAAGTTAAAATTGTATTTTTTATAAATTGCTACAATTGCCGCATAATATTGGACATCGTCAAGAACTAACCCCCATAGGGGTGAGAAAGAAAATAAAATGTAATTAGGCTTCTTCTGAATAAAGTTTAATGTTAATGGTTTGTTTATTTATTGCCTTAAACGTACAATAAAAAAAGAAAACTCCGGCCTACAGATCAAAATCAAAATCAAAAATATATTTATTCAAATAGACGCTTCCGCGCTTTTATGAATCGTCAAATTTTACATCAAAGATAATGTACATAGGTTCGTAAGGTACCACCGGTTCGGAAAGCAGTTTCTATTGAGAAGAGACGGCAAGAAACTCAACAGTTGCTCTTTTTCAAAAATATCAGGGTACAATATAATATATGATATAAATAGTCTAGCCTACGTGAGTATCAACAGTATTAACTCCAAACATTGGCGTCGTCGAGATATTCCGAAATGGTATAATATGCTTTAATCATTAGTTGATTTTTAATTTTACATTTAAATTGGTCAAGCGGCAGACTTAATATCGACTATGGGATTTTATTATACATGCGTTCACTTTGCCCCATGAACGACCTATTTACTTTTTGTAGACGAAACAATGGTGTAGTAAGTTTGTCCTTATTTCTGGTGTTTATTTTATGTCTGTCACTATTCTTTAGGTAATAATTAAGGTTATGTCGTATATACAAAATATTACAATAAATGTATTGAGAAGCAACAGTGAGTATATTAACCTCTTTGAAAAGATCTCTGAGTGAATTCCAGGCTCCGATATTGTAGATTGCTCGAACAGCTCTTTTTTGAAGAATAAATATAGAATTTATATCTGATGCACTACCCCACAACAAAATGCAGTACGACAAGATGCTGTGAAAATAACTAAAGTAAACAAGTCTGGCAGTGTCGATGTCTGTTAGCTGCCTAACCCTTCTAATCGCAAAAACAGCGGAGCTCAGTCTATTCGCAAGAGATGATATATGGGGACTCCACTGGAGCTTTGAATCTACTGTAATTCCCAGAAATACAGCAGACTCAACTGGATCAATGGGTACGTTATTTAATATTAAACTAAAACTTTTCCTTCTTATACTGGGAAGGGTAAAAAGAATGCATCTGATTTTTTTGGCATTTAATACCATATTATTATATAACCATATACTATTATATAAAAGTAAACCAGTGGAGGATATGTGAAAGTGCACTATTCACGTCGTCATAATTCGATACATTTCGGTCAACTGTGTCAATTGTGTCGTCAGCAAACTGTACAACATCACATAACTCACTGGCATAAAAGGGGAGATCATTTATATACACTAAGAATAATAATGGGCCCAAGATTGATCCTTGTGGGACACCCATTTTCATGGGGGACCCTGCGGAATTTACATCATTTATAGATACTTTTTGAATTCTATTACTAAGGTAAGAGGCAATGAGATTGAGGGCGATGCCACGAATGCCATAATATTCTAGCTTTTGAAGGAGAGTTTTATTGTCTGCGCAGTCGAAGGCTTTTGAAAGGTCACAAAAGACACCTATTGCATCTTGTGACCTTTCCCCGGCGTTATAAATATGTTTGACAAGTGCGACGTCCGCATCTGTTGTCGATCTGCCTTTAGTGACTCCATATTGCTCATCGTGAAAGATTTTGTTCACATTAAAATGAACTAAGATTAGTTCATTTTAACGGTTATCTAACCGTTGACAAAAATAAAAAATAATAAACGTTGTCTTAAATGCCTACAAAAGAACTGTTTCATTTCGTTTTATGCTTTAGTTTAAGAAGAAACAAACATTACAAATCATTAGTTACATCTGAAAACATTTTAATGAAACGAGAATTAAATTGAAAATATTAACAATACATGCACGCAATAGCAGTAGGTAATAGGTATGTCTGGCACTTTACGATACACGGATCCCACAGATAACACAAGAGACCTTAACCTATGGCGATCATACATATTTATATTTTCAAAATTACTACACAAGCAATTTCAAAACGGTGTCAATGGCATCTTTATTATAAATGATATTATAATATTACAAAATTATGTACTTACAGACGTCATTGAAAACGTTTTCTTTCAATATAAAAATGCCTAAATTACTGTCTTTATTAATTAGACATGGGCCAGCATACTAATTGGCAACAAATACGATTATTATTATTTTACAAAAAATATGTAACTTCTTTTGTTCTATCATACCTGCGGATTTAATTAACAGTACAACCTATTCAGAAAAGGAGACGCGAGACGAGATTTTTTACTGTTTTTTTATCTGTTTGAGAACGTTTAGAAGTCAATTGAAACGTTTGCCGTAAATGTGTTAATTTAATATACATATATGCATATACATATATATATATATATATATAGTTACGGGCAAGATAATTGCTTATCAGTAAATAGGGATCGAAGACCCATAGGAATCCAAGGAATCAAATACATGAATATTGCACATACTTCTCTAGTTAGACCACAAGAGCTGGGGTAGTGGCGATAGTAATCTAAGCATTCGTCAGGGTGCCCTCGTCAAATGGCCACTGACCGCTGAGTTGCATGTTGCTAACAATGGTAAAAAATCGATACAGAGAATTCCTTGAAGCAATTTCACTAATCTGTGCTTTAAATTTATTTCTTTCCGCACAACAGAAGGCGCGGTTTTAGAAGCACTACGGTGAATTGAATTACATAATTATTCAAATTATACAAGTTGTTACTATTAACAGGTGCTCTAACTTACGAACCAATAGTGGTGAAATAGCTCAAAAGGCATATCAAAGTTATACATCTATCTTAACAGCCAATGAAATGATTAAAAGAAAAGTAAGCGGTTTGACCATAACCCAAATATTTAACCCGGTGCTTTCTCAACGCCTCGTCATTAGAGCGAACATCAGAAATAAACTGGATAGTGCGAGATTGCTGTTACTATTTGAATAATAGTTTCATACCTCCTTTATACACTCGTAAATGTTTGTTATATCTATCAAAACAAAGTAAACCTCATACATCTAACTATATCTACTAAACTTTGATCAGAGGTTACTTGAACGGCAGCTTCTGATGAATGAGGGACATTTAAAATGTCACTGTGTATTAACGAAGTATATTTTTTGCGGTCCTCAAGCATCGGACAATGATAAATTTGGTTTTACTTTTTTTCACGGATGTGAACAACAAGAATTTTTTGTCATCTATACCCAATGTCAAATATACAGAAGCAAATCGAGTAAAGCCTAGCGTGCAGTGACCCAACGTGGAGGAAGGTTACACGTGAACGTGCATCCCGCACGTGAAGCGCTGACGAAAGAACCGGTTGCTGTGAAGCAAGGTGGGGCTTGCAGTGCGCGCTACACTAGAAAACCCGTCTGCACCTTGTGCAATAAACAGATACAGCGATTCTTTCCAAAGGTGCTCTCTGTAGGAATGGATTTGTCGAAAAATGCGTGTGTAGAGTGTAACTGTGTACACATAGCCGATTTGGATCACGTAGGCGTTGGCCAAAGACCGTTTTAACAAAACAACCACGTCAACCTTTCCAAGTGTTATTACAATTCTTTTTATATAATTTTCTTCTTTCTCCCGATTCTTTCTTCAACATTTGCCCCACTGTACAAATAATTATTGTGATGTGAGGGCTATTAACGTGCATAACACATAAGACATATCTAAAACTGAAGGGCAATAATCGCACATAAATACGTACCAACATCATTTATTTGTTTACCAACTGCGCCATCGGATAAAGTCACGAAGTTGTCGAGCCGTGAGGATAGAGAGCTTACCGAAGGGTACTTTTCGAGCTCATGTAGCACGGTGTGGTCGCAGTACTCGAACACGAGGTGCAGCTTGCGCTTGCGCCGGAACACCTCCAGCAAGTTCACCAGATTCGGGTGCTTCAGGTTCTACCAAAGCAAGAGCAATTAGTACGTCGTTCCTTACAAATAGATAGGCGGTTGCTACCCAATCATGATACTGATGAAACCCTTTTATCAATAGGCTTTTCAGAAAAACGAAACACTGGGAAAAGAATATAACATAAAAACTATCATAGATATACATAAACATGTAAGGAAGCAAAGGCGTGCTTGCGAAACTAGGCACTTTTCCAATCGCGGCAAATGTATCTCAGTTTAGGTAGTGCCGTGAATAAATTGAGACAGTGGCTTAGATTGTGCGAGCTGTAACGGCGCGCGAATTAACGGTGCATGCGAAGGAGGTGCGGGAGCCATTAGCGAGGCGGAGGCCGCGCCGCGAGATAGGTCAGGGACAGGCGGCGGCCGCGGGCGCATTAGCGGCACGCGAGGCACGCGATTTTAAGTGCACACGCGCGCCCCCCGAGGGCCGTTGATGCCCCGCAGATAACCTTTCCGCGAATGAACCCTAACAAAGGATCTTTAAATAATAATAAAGAGATAAAGCTTTGAATCCCGCAATACTTTTTTCTATTTCATTTTTTATTCGCTTTTTTTTTAAAAAAGCGTTGTCCTTACTTTAGGATAACATTATCCTGTGTTGTAAGGACGTTTTACAAACATAAATTTCACGCGGACAAACACCCAGATGCGAAGCAACTATCTGTGGGTCACACAAATAGTTGTCCCGTATGGGAATCAGACCCACGACCCACTTGGCAACTGCGCCACGGAGTCATGCTTGGTTTTCATAATTGGTTTCGACTTTTGTAATTATATCAACGAGATCGCATTAGTGTGATTTAGATGGATCAACAGTGCTGTGAACGTTTCGCCGCGTTTATTAAGCCCGAATCGTGACGCCTTTTACGATTTGTGCCCAAACAAAAGATTGTGTTTTTTTTTAAAGAAATCCACAAAACAATGGGCTCATAATTTTAAACGACTTCAAAGGTCTCAACGTGCTTACGAGTACAACGAGTATAAGCGCCGGTTCAAGTATTTTTTCGATCAAAATAAGAAACGAATCTGAATTAAAAGGAATGAATTCCGTTAATTTTACAACATCAATGGAAGACAACGGAAACGTAAATCGAGGCAACACGCAACAAGTTGTGTCTTGTTAACTCCTCAATTACTGAGTACTGACACTTCATGTCTTAACATGGACATGGGTACATGGGGGACTCTTATCTAAGGGACAGTCTAAATTACCTACATGGTATTTCTCTACACAGAACCCTTTACCCCGTTGGGACCCTTGAATACTGTTGACTAACGTTTAGGATGGCCTTGGACCTTGAACTGCATTGTATGGAAAGCTAAGTACCTACTTAAAACATTGCCATGTCCTTTGTTATATTGTAATTTTCTTAACTGTAAGCATAAAAGTAGCATAACTGAATATTAAATATTTATTCACACGCGATCACGGCACAGGTGATGTCAAAATGTGTCACCATATTTTTATAAAAAATTTAACCACAAATAAATATCTCATATTTTTTAACGTTTTTTTGGTTTTTATGATTTTATATTTTGCATTACAGTTTGCATTTGGTTGAAATAGATGTTATTATAGTCAATTAATCACAAGAGATCGCTCAATTCATTTGAAAGTAGAATAATCTTCACATTTTTGTGTGCAACTTCACTTGCGCTTGCTTTAAACTCATCAGTGCAAGTGCCTTTCTAAAATGCGATCAATTTTAAACCATAAGGTAATACAATTAATAACTCTTAATCGATGTGTGGGGACTAATTTACGTCATATTTTGAATTTACGTCGTAAGATTTGAGAGATAAAAGCCGTATTACTAAACTTATAGATACTTATATGAACCATCTGGTTTTTCAGTTGTCATATTCAGGAGTAAATAAGTCAGATGAAATATAAAAAAAATTAGATAGACAGCAATACTATCTACGCCCGTCTCTTTGCCTTAAACTAAGTGAGAGTTTGTGCTTGTTGAACCATTATGCTATGCGAGCAGACCACCTAATGTTAAATGTTTGCCCTATAACAATCTGCGACGACTTCGTAGCGCAGTTGCCATGGTATCATCATGGCTTATTCATCTCCGGCACCGGGGGTTCGATTCGCGTACGAGACAACTATTTGTGTGACCCGCAGCTAACTGTTTCGGATCTGGATTTTTGTATGTAAAACTTCCTTCATCACATAAACACGATAATTATCCTAGTAAGGGATAAGGGAGAAATGTTTTCGAGGGGAAGACTGCGATAGATATTTCTATCGCAGTGGTCGTTGGGACTTAGTATCCAACCACTTCGAAACAATGAACATGCAGTACCATAGCATTTGTCGGCAAATTGTCACTTTAAAGCATTGAAGCAGGTTGACCTTATGACAGAAGATGCACAGAATTTGGCGGAATCATGTGAAGGCATGTTAACATCCCCACCAGGCCGGCCTACATACGGTGGCAAAGGTAGCTACGGGTTTCAACTGCGGCACCTTGAGCATGCGTATCTCGCGCAGCGCGATCTTCCTGATGAGAGGGTCGTCGTCGTTCTCGAGGAACTTCTTGACGGCGACCAGAGCGCCCGTCTCCCGGTCGCGGCACTTGTACACCAGCCCGTACGAGCCCTCGCCCAGCTTCGCGAGCTTCTCGTAGCGCTCCATCGCGCGGCTGCTCGCCCGCGACCTGCGCGCGGCGGACACTTTTACCCGGGGGCTTACAGCCGGCCATCAAAAGCCGTCCGACATTATTGCGATGTAAGAAAGGAACAAATAGGTTTCTTTTTTTTAATTCAAAACCAGCCAGCACTTAACTGCCATCCCACCTGATGGTAAGCGCGCTAGCTCAGTAAAAACTTGAGTCAGTGAACATATTCAGTTAATCCATAGGATAACATTCTTGAACATACTAAATGAAACTTTTCAAGTCTACTGTAGAAAGATGTTCACTACCTCGTGCTGATTTTTACTATATATGTGGCGACTTCATAATATAAGCACCACAGCGAATTCTTCGTAACTATCCCACCCTGAGTATACAAGGAGAAATAATCACGGACGGACCGAGTGTCGCTATACATATATATTTCCTTTAAAAGGGAAATATAAATAACAATAACACAATTTCGTACCTGGCAGTTGCGATTTCTGGTGATATAATCGACCTGTTAATTGCCCCTGGCATCTTTAATGCCGGCTTACTGTTTCATCTCCCACATGTTGGTGAAATTTATAAGGTTTAAATGGAATGTTAAAGCATAACCTGATCGTTAAAATGTTTTATAAATACCAAAGGTTAACATTGAAATGTCTAGCTAACACCAAATGCCAGAAGTATATTATAATGTCTTACTATGTTCTGACATAGCAGAACGTGTCAGATCAGAAAAAAGGTATCGAATATTTTCGTACTTTATTCATCAGATTTTGTACAGAATTTTAAGTGTGAAAGAATTATTTTGTAACAATTAACTTTCAGTATGTGCGAATGAAAGAATAATACTTATGTGATAATACTTATGTATTATCACAAAAACATTAATCAACCTATTAATTTATTAGAAAAAAAATTATACAACGTTATTATTACGTTATTATTATTATATATTATATGCAGTACGAAAATTGAAACATTCCTAAGTTTGTGTATTCAACTCTACGGAGTTACTAAACATAAATCGTAGAAAGTTAAACGTGATAACTTAATCTGATTAGATAAATGATGAAAAAAAATTGATAAACGATGAAACATCATACGCTATTCCATTCTCCTTCACTCAGCAGCTTCAATGTGGCTAGGCAATTCATTAATAATTGAATTATCTTCAATCAGTGAAGCGTTACGCCGTTATCGCGTAATCTCGTAATTAAGCAAATACAGGTTGATTGTCACGTATTGTGCATTATTTTGGTATTCTGTCTAACTCCGTAGTTGTACTGGTGATTACAAAATAATATTTCATATAAAATTATAAAGTTATAATAAAAAAAAATGAGCCATCACTAGACGCCTGGCAGATGTGAAACATCGACATTATCGTCACGGGACGCATGGCAGATGTGAAACATCGACATTATTTTGTAATAGTAATATGTAGAAAAGAACAGATTGTGATAGGAACTAAATATGTCATAATGATAAAATAAAATATTACGATTTTATTTCCAGATAACGATAGTACACACAATTAATGAAAGTTAATTTAATTAATTAATAATGAATAAATAATTATTTAGAATTAATTGAAATTTGAGTAATTAATCGTACACACTACTGCATATAGACTGTATACAGAGTGTCGTTACCACCGCGATAATAAATGAAAAAAAATTACGAATTTATTTCAAATCGTGACTACTTAATTCGTTTAATCAGTGACTTCAGTAATAGTATACACAGTTAATTAAAGTTAATTTAATTAATTAATAATTAATAAATAACTATTAACAATTAATTTAAATTTGAGAAATTAATCGTACACACTACTGCATATAGACTGTATATACATACCATCATATAGCGTGGCGACGCGTCGCCACGGCATGCGTCGCCACGCCAGAAATCGGTTTTACGTGCGGCTATAGATGTTTCACATCAAAAATATTAAGATATAATATACAGAAAACTTTGCTAATAACTAACTATATAGGTACATATACGAAGTATTGATTCTTTCTTAAGTACAACACAAGTAGTGTTTCAACAATGACAGTCGTGCTGTTGCGAGTAGTTCACATCTTACCAATTATCATAAAATTATCATTTGCAATTTTATTTCGCAAACAAATTAAAATTCGCGGTATGAAAAAATACAAGTGTACGACTTCGATTTGACATTTTTCGTCTATTTGGAGACGAGCAACACTTTTTTTGACCACCGCTTTGATTCAGATTTACTATAATGAAAATCTATTATAAAAAATTTATTGGAGTGATTTACTTAAAAAAAAATTCAATTAAAACAATTCTTGTCTAGTGTTTGCACGCCGTAACCTTTATTTTAGTGAAAGTCACAGCATGTTCGTTTAGTTTTTAAAAACATAAATGATCAGTCAATAATTTACTTATAGAACCCACCTTCTAGGTAGTAGAGGCAGGTTATTACCAAATAACCAGAGCCGTTTATCACCGAACCATTTCTCCATGCAGGATGCCACGTTTTTCCACACTTTGAAACTTGAAGGTCCGCTATGTTCGTCGGAATTCTTCATTCGCGTTCCCGAACGAAAGAAGTCGTTTGCATTCCCGCCAAAAATGATGTCAAAACAAGTAGAGTAGAAGTAGTTGATAACAATTTGGATTAGAGAGATGTGCTCGTTGGGAAAGCAGCAAGACTATTACGTAGGGTTGGAAATCATATCGATCGTGGTTTTGTTTACACGTTTGAGTCAGCCTGTGTACATGACAACCGCGAGGCTCGAGTTGAACGTAGGTCGAATGTTCCTACAAATTATGTATTAGTGTATAAAAGTTTAATAGCTTAGAAAATAACAAAGTTCTATCGTGGTTTATGTAAAATATACCGAATAAAAACTAAGATCTCATATTTTTTGTCTGAAGGTAAAGATCTAATTGGTTTGAAAATCAAACATAATAAAGGGTCACTTAACAGTTAGTAACTATCTTAAGACTGTTGCATGGTCCTAACACAGTTAAGCCAATAAAAGCTTCCTAAAAATACCAATAAAAAGAGAGTTGCAGAGATCACAATCATTGAACTGTAAGCTGTAAATATTCCTTAATCTACGAAGCCGTACGAAGTTACTTCGTGGGTCGATTAAAGATGGGTCCATATTGGTGTTTTAATGGCTTATTTTTTTTGTATATTATGGCCCGGTATCAAGGACCTTTAGGCCATTTAATGGCTTATTATTCCGCGCAATAAGAGTGGTTTTATATATCTCAGACTAGACATGTAGTCAGAAACAAAGATTATCTTAAAATGAATCGATAGAACTCTTTCTATTTTAGATTCTTTCTTATTATAATTGCATCGTATATGTAATTTTTATTTTTTTTGCCGACTACAAAATATTTTCCTACACATAAAGAGTTTTACCTTGTTTTTTCTTGTTTCTTGAATAAGCTGGCTTGAGAGTGTTTAATTTGAGCTACTGTTGTTGCGGAAGGGTGGCGAAAAATAAACGATTCCACCCTTGTCTGTTTTGTCCGTTGTTTGTGGTAATTTTAGCAAACGTCCTGAGAGGACCTATTGGAAGGCCGTCGAAGCACCCCTAACTACTGTGGCATCCACCCTTTGATTATATACTTGGCAAGTATATAATCAAAGCATACCCTACAAACATGTTAAAACACCAAAGCTAGTGTTAAGAAAAAGAAATCATGATTATAATTAGGTAAAAAATATAACCTGTATACGAGAACGAGAAGTGCCCAAATTCACACAGAATCGGTAGTATAATCGTTAATTGAAATAAAAAACAAAGTTTTTTTTTTCCAAAAATAGCCATACTATTCCCTAAAAAACAGAACGTGTTGACAATGCGGTAGTCATTCATAAATACCTTAATTTTACTGTGCACGAACTTGTGTGCGTGAAAATTATAAATGATCGCGCGTAAAATAAATGAGTTGCGTATAAATCACACACTTTTTGAGTGATTTTAAATATTTATCATATTTTATATAACATTATTTATGTATAGAATTTAATTTAAAAAAATGGATACACTTATAAAAGGCACCCTGTATAATCTCAAGATAACATTTTGAGTGTCACGGTGTATTAATTAACTTAATTAGAATTATCATTTTGTTACGGTTATAAGGGTAAAGATCCGTAAAAATCCGTCAAAAACGTAGCGGATACGGATACGGATCTTTTTTTCCGACGAATATCCGCGGATACGGATACGGATACCCGAAACATAACTATTTACCAATATCAACAATTGATGTAAAATGACATAATTATAACTGCTCACCTTTTGCACTGAAAATAAGTGTAGTTTTGATACAATTAAAAAGCAAACGAAAAATCGAGACTCGTATAAACAATTTATAAGCTTAGTCATGTTCAAATTTAAAAAAATAGGCCTAACGTATATTTATGTGTTATTTCTTGTTTTAAATTGAAAAAAATACAATGTAGTAGTAGTACTGCCATCTATTAGACATTTAGGAAGTTGACGATTCAATTGAAATTTCATCATTCTTTTTCTCTTTTCCTCACTATGAAATAATTGCTGTGTGTTCATTACAATTCTCGCTCGCACACAACAAACAGATACCGTTCCATACTACCGTTCGTCGCCTTCTCGAGCCGACCTCGTCTCGTATCATACCGTACCGTACCATTCTGTCAAATAACATCGCACGGTGTTCACGTGTTGTCGTCGTCAGCTATTTGGATCAATGATTTTGTATTTGTTGTTATTAGTAATCACGCATTGAATCACAACAGTGCCCGCTAAAAACATAAGACAATCGGCAGAAGGCAAGGTTACAGTGACAGTAGCCTTAGTGTTATTGCGTAAATAATTGAGCAATCGCCGGTCGCAGCCAAGACGAAATGAACTGCTTTTTCACAAAATACTCGAGATAAAGTCTAGAGTGGTGTGTGACAGTGTTGCTTAAACTAATGCGTGTCTTAATCTTTTGGTTTGGCTCATTGCGTTTCATTATTTGGTGATCAACAAAGACAATCATGGGGTCTACAGGCCTGACTTTGGCAGATTTGCCAAACATTTTTATAATGATAGGAGCCCTCGTAGCTTTGTTCGTGATGCTAGTCATACTTCTCAGGTGAGTCCAATATCGATATAATATGATATAATTTACAGTTTCTTCATCAGATGTTGGATTACGATATAAAGCTGATTTGTTTACTTTATACCTATGATTTATTTTAGTAAAATGTCTTGAATTATAGATACGAATTTACACAATACAAGTATTAAAAAGTGATAAAATGATATCTTGAAGTATAATCTGTTTATTTTATCTATATTAAATATAAATACAATGCATCTTTTTTTAATTACATCAAGTTAAATAGTGCTGTGATACTGAGTGAAAATCACTTGTATAATGTTTCTCCAATTTAGAAGACTAGATTATAAAATTAAAGGTAAATTTTTTTTATATTAATGCGGTAGGGTTGTAATTGTGTATGAAATATGTAACTATACATATTGGGATTAATATTTAAAATTACTGTTGTTTCACTACAATTTTACCAAAACAAGTTTTAATAAATTAGTGACAAACCCCTCAAGGTTTGGTCGGCGGAAGGTTTTTGCCTGTGGTCTATGGATACAGTAAAGTGCCTTTAAATAAGAAAAAAATAAGTTTCATATTAGTAAAAAAATGAGCATTTAATAAATTAACTGTTTTTAAATTTTTTGCATGTAGAAGATGAAAGACAAGACACTGTATAAAAAGTCTATTAATATAAGGGCTAAAAAATATTATTTGTTTTTACTTTGTACATTTGTGACAACTGTTTATACTGTTAGCTTTGTTATAAATTGCAAAAGAATTCAGATGTTCATTGTAAAATCAGACATGATTTTAATAAATCAATACATTCTTTGGGGCAGCATATAGATTTTCACTCTAAAACAAAAAAAATATTTTATTATTACACATTGAAAATCTTATACTTAAAATATTTGACTTTCCTGCAGGTCACCTCCCGCTTCACCTTCACCTTTCTGGCACCAATAACATGTTATTGTACTTCTTAATTGAATTGGTAATTTAATAGTTCATTTTTGTTTTCTTAGAGTTCACCTTGGATATCATTTGAATTTTGTTATTGGTTGAACTTGAAATTGGTATTTCTTTCCATTAGCTTCCAGGTGTTTTTCGAAGATATTGATTAAAGATCTAACAGTTACAGAACTTATGAACTATCCATATAATCTGGATTATCTATATTCTCTTATAATCTGGATTAAAGTATCTGGATACTTCATAATAACTTACCACCTCTCTCTAAATTATCACTGGTGTGGTGGTAACTAGATAAGCTAAATTTATAATTGACTGACAGTCAAATCCTTAAGGCCTTTTTTGAGGTTTCATACCCGAAGGGTAATATGGAACCCTGCTACTAAGACTCCTCTCTTTCTGTCTGTCTGTCATCAGGCTGTATCTCATGAACCATGATAGTTAAGAGGTAAAATTTTCACAAATGATATAGGATTTGTGTTGCCGCTATACTAACAAATGCCTACTCAAAATCTGAATAAAAAATATTTAAGTGGGACTCCCATACAATATCCATACATGGTTTTTTTGATATTTTTATAGATAATGGTACGGAACCATACCTGTAAATAATATTATTAAAATATATCAATACATATTAGTACAATAATAGACCTGATTCACTACCACTTAACAACAATTTTATTAATACTAACCACAACTTATATAAAAACAACAAACGAGAAATGGACCTGGTTTAATCAGCCCTTATGTTATGAATAATTTTTCCTCTACTTTAAAGACAAATCTTGGAGATTTATGTCATCAGTTTTTAAGTATATATTTTTTTAGGAAATCTTTAAGTCTACCTAAGTTGTTATTATAATCTTTCATTGAAATAAGCTGTCAGTGAGCTATATTTCGAAGGTGCAACACAAAAATGATAATCCATTGTGAACTAGGACCCGTGCAACTAGCCTCCTGGTTTATTGGTTGCCTATCATCAAAAAGCAGAATTCTCCATCATATTTTCCAATGGTTGCTGTAGTCTTTTTTACAAAGGCACTATTTACCTAGTTTGATTAGATCAAAGATCTCTTGTGATTTTATGTCAGCACTATATACTAAGCACTACCACCACAGAAAAGACTGAAAGTTATATAGGTATTTCATACATATTTAAAATATAAAGTTTATATATAAACTGGGGTTCTCATGATTACGTCTTAGTACATAAAACGAGGTCTAGAGGGGAATTGGGAATCATTACTCTAGGGAACTATGCATGGATTATCTAAATATAATTATGCATCGCAAGTACAGAGTGGTTTAAACTCGGAATGGTGTAATACCTGGAACTGTGACAGAGATGTCTAGTTTCAGTACTGGAGTTAATTCAGAGTTAAATCACCATCATGAAAGTGGAACAATTAATTCGGAACATCAAAGTTTGAAACTCAATGAAATGAAGTTGGACAGGCAGCTCAACGACTCCGGTTTACTCATTGTATAACAGAAATGTTTGATTGGGATGTCCTGAAGCCAGCTGCAGTCTAGACTCCCTAATTAGTCCCACAGCGCTCGAATGTCCTTAATTATTGCTACTTCTTATTAACACAATCTGGACTGAGCGGCAGGGGGCAGTTATTGTTAAAACCATTAAGGCACCTTAAACGAATTACATTTATTTTAAATTAAGATTGAACGAACTGATAAAGAAAAATACGCAACGACTTGCAGGTGATGAATCGTTCGGAAATGAGTAAGATGTATCTAGAGTTGCAAGTTTGAAACAAACTTTGAAAAGGTTTTTTTTTATCATTTAATTGCTATATGGCATGAATACAGTAATAAAATTTGTGTTCGTAGATATAGAGCAAATTCTTACATACCTATATGCCTAACACAGGTTTACACAACATTGATAAAAAAATTTAAATTTGAATTCAATTTGAAAATTAAAGCCATGATAGCTCGTTTTAAAATTTATGAAGTGAAATATAAAAAATGGCGTATGAAGTTTGTAAATATTGCAAAGAAAAACGCTTTTAAGTCATTGGCAGACGGAGAAACAAAAAAGTTTGACAGTTCCATGATTGGGCTAGACTTTGGGGTCAACAACCTAATGCATTCTGGAATACGCGATAGTCTCCTATCATCTCGCAGACACCCACGAGCCACAGCTCTCGCCGCCTACACAGTATGTTATATACATCTGTATAAATAAAGAACACAATGTAAAAATAATACAATGAAGAAGTACAGTATTCCAAGCCGTGATAACTCATTTTCCGGGCGCTCGCTCATTAATTCAATATAATCGAACCTGAGTTCTATCCCCGGTGCCGGCACTAATGAAATTGCTAATTTTAAGTGCTGAGTTATCACGTACTCAAAGATGGAGGAAATCATCGTGAGGAAACCTGCATGTTTTCGAAATAACTACACAAAACATATTTCGTAGATATGTGAAGTCCGCCAATCCGCAGTGGGGCAGCGTGGTGGACTGTGCCCTAATACCCTGTGTAGGACATAGGACGCGTTTGCCCAGCAGTAGGACATAATTATGTAGGTACACTTTACTCATTACTATTACTGAATTCGACTCACCTTGACATTTAATCAACAGGCAATGGATTCACGCCCAGTTTCAACGAATTGTAATTTCTTCCCTCGGTACAAAGACGGACACCTCAATTAACAGCCCTATTTGTTTTGTCGGTTGATTAAGAACTATAATATTTTGTAGCAATTTACTGGCGGCCATTTTAATGAGTGCACTCTTGTTGTAGCAATACATTTTTGAATACTTAATTAGAATACTTTCTTAGTGGTTAAGTGAAAAACACTTTTTAATTAGATTTTTAAGTTTCTGGCCTTTAGTCCGGTACTAATACTGTAGTCATTAGGAACGGTTATTTGAAGATTTTTAATAATTTACGATGGAATCTCCAAAAAAGGGAGTCTTGGATCGTACAGGATCGAAAAGTTTTCACACTAATTGTAAGATCAAGCCTCTAGTGAGATCGATCAAAAATACAACATTTTTATCAATAAGGCCTAAATAATTTAGTAACATGATGAATGTAACATTTAATATAAAAATACAGTTTTTAATAAGAACTTAACAATTTCTGTTAGCGTTATTCTAATTAAGTAATGTTACTTTGGCAGTAGTATTAAATTATACTTCTATCACAGCCAACAATTCGGAAGATCAGAACCCGAACCCGCGGCGCGTCTTGTCGAGGCGAACAAATGGGCAACTGCGTCATCCGCTAATCGATTGGTGAACGTTAATTGTTACTATTTGAAATTCGACGGAAGTTAGTTGAACGTTACCTAAGATAGGCAGCGGGCGAGTTGCTCGCTCATCCGTGCACGACCGCACGAGGCACCCACCGCTTAGTGCCTCGCCACACGACCCATCAAAGGCCATTTCATAACTAATGGCCTAAAAAAAGGATAAATAAATTAAGTGTCTAATGTAGATTATAGATAGACGTGGAAAAGGAAAATTAGGAAGGCTGATCTCGCACCTACTAGGGCCTATAATAGTCGGGGAAATGGGTAGGGAGTCACAGTAGGTCGGTAATATTTGAGTATAAACGTATGTATGAATTTAATAATTATGAATTAGTACTTTTTTTTAATAAGCTCTGTATACTGAATGAAGGTTTTTATGGATTTTAACATGCGATGCGTAGATATTTTACAGGTTTTAACGCCTTATGCCTTACAAAAAGTCAAGATATTTTCAAGGTATTGTGAAAGCCGAGTTTCAGATCCCGGTACCGGCGTCTATGGAATTGTTAAATTTAAGTGCTGATTTATCACGTGCTCTGCGGCATAGTTTAGGAATTATATAAAAAAATATATTTCGAAGGTATGCGAAATCCGTCAATCCAATCACAATGGGGTCGCGTGGTGGAATATACCTTAATATCTTCTGTACACACGGGGTATTTACTTTACTTTTTACTTTATGAACGTCAAAATTTTGCAATCGATTCCTTAATTTGGAACTCTCCAGAAGAACACTGAAGATGTGTGGAGTCTCATGTTGCGAGTGCATTTATTGTTTATAAAAA